GTACAACAGACCACCCCCCCAAAGCAAACATATATGTGTTTTTAATGTTAATACAAAAAGAAGGTGGGGGACATTTAAATGTTAACCCACCAAAGCAGCAATGTCTATGAAAAGCTTTGTGAAAAACAGAAAGCAAGAACAATGACTAATGTTGTAAACATAAACAGAACTGTTCTTTTTTTAAAAAGGGTGAGTGTGGCTGCCCAAAAGTAGAGCCCTTTTAGTCCAGTTGTTCCTGGGCCTCCCCCTCCTACTGAGACATTAACAGCACAAAGCTCTGCATGTTTACTCAGAAGGCCTACCCTAAACAGTGTAGGCACAATCAGGCACCAGCAAAGCACTCTCTCTCACACAAAACAACCAGAAGAATTGTAGAGTTAGAAGGGACCCCAAGAGTTATATAGTCCTCCCCCATGCCATTTTTATTTTGAATTACGTAGTGGCAGCACCTTTTCAGTGCTCAGGGCCTCTAAAGGTCTCAATCTGGTGCTCCTCGTAAGGGCTGGAGCCTGTTTCGATCATTCCTTAATGCAGGGCTTCAGCTTGCAATATTCAATCAAGTAGTAACTGGACATCTCTGGGAAGCAGGGGCGGAGGAAGGGGGTGAGGTGGGGGCGGTATGCTGGGCGGCATTCACCACGGAGCCGGCAGCACGCCCAAGCCACGCATCTCTCCTGGGAGTGGCGTGGTTGCTTGGGCACCTGCAGGCTCCGTGCTGCCCCAAATGGTCCGCCTGCTGCCTGCCCCCCAGCTGTAGGGCGGCTGAGTGGGAGGAGGCAGACAGACTCTGGACGCCCCGCGGAGCGTCCTGCCCCGGCTCACCCCAGGCGCCCGATTGGCTTGCTCTGCCGCTGCTGGGAAAGAGAGGTGACCAAGAGTAATCTGTTACTGGCCTTTTTTGTTTGCCATTGAACTTACAAGGGTTCAATGAACTTTCTTTCCGAGGTCCTAAAACCCAGAGGAGCGGGGTTGCGCTCTTATCTCTGTCTGATTTGGGTACTTTGTTTTACAGAACAAAAGAGAAGGCCTCACTTATCACAATTAAGGAGTTGCTCTCTGCTTATCACTCAAGGAGGCACAGAGAGTTCTAGAAAGAGATCTCTTCCTCTGCCTGGCTTCTCTCCCAACCACAGAACTGCTCCACGCCATTAGCAGTGGCATTGCTGTTAAGGCAACATAAGAGCATAACAAGAGCTTGCTGGATCAGGCCCATCTAGCCAGAGAATCATAGAATTGTAGAGTCGGAAGGGACCCCAAGGGTCATCTAGTCCAGGCTCCTTCAGTGCAGCAGCACCGCCACAGCACCGCTTACAGCACCGCCACAGTTTGTGGCAGTAAATTCCAGGAGTTAGGGGTGTGTTGAGTGCGGAGGTATTTATTTTTGATGGCAAGGAATCTTGCCCCCCTCCCCTTAAATGAAAAACGTAAGAGCATAACATAAGAAAATAAGAGCCTGTTGGAAGAGGCCAAAGAGACATCTTGTCCAGCATCCTGTTCTCACAGTGGCCAACCAGATGCTTGTGGGGAAATTGGCAAACAGGACCTGAACACAAAAGCAACTCTTTCTATTCCTGTGGCTTTCACCCCTGCCTGCTGCCATCCACAAAAACTGTGCTTGTTGAGTTTGCATGCTACTTACCGTATTTTTTCGCTCTATAAGACACATTTTTTCCCTCCTAAAAAGTAAGGGGAAATGTGTGTGCGTCTTATGGAGCGAATGCAGGCTGTGCAGCTATCCCAGAAGCCAGAACAGCAAGAGGGATCGCAGCAAAAGCGGCAATCCCTCTTGCTGTTCTGGCTTCTGGAATTCAGAATTATTTTTTTCTTGTTTTCCTCCTCTAAAAACTAGGTGCGTCTTATGGTCTGGTGAGTCTTATGGAGCGAAAAATACGGTAATTGTTAGTTAGCAGCAAAGTGGATAATGGAAGGCTTTGGACAATTTCTACCACTACCAGCCCAAAGCCACAAATGCTGATTCTGATCAATCTAGAAAATCCAGTTCACAGTCACTCAAGTTCAGCCTGCAAATGTCCATCGCCCAGGTTGGTTGAACTGGGCGTAATGCAAGGAACAAGCTAAGTGAAGACAGGGCCCCACTTTCCATATTGGATACCACAACTATTTGCTCCAACACTAGATCCTTCGTAAAAACACCTCCAGGAAACTGTATTAAAACTCCATCTCCATCTTCAGGACCCTCATGCCTCTCAGCCAACCCGGCTCTGATAATTAACAGTCAAACAATTAGCGCCATCAGCTAATGAGCCACCGGCCTTCTCCAGGCTCCACCCTCTTCAAGAACACACTAAAAACAGCCTCAAACGCTCAAAAGTATATCACCCACTACATCCTTTGGACTTTCATTTTTCTGGGAACATCTGGACAGAATTTCCTATCAGGTCTGGGAATGTCCAGACACAATGTCCCACCAGGGTTGTGTTCCTTATAAGCTTGCTAGGACAGCTAAGGATCTGCAATTCTACATCCTCAGATTTGCAAGTCTGGGTTTCCTTGGTTTGGATCTCATTCCTCGTACAAAATATGGGACATCTTGGGGTTTCTGTAGTGAAAGGAATGAGTTTGCAGAGATTACTTTCCTCTAGTCGTGATCCTAGACCAGCCACAAGCTAAGCATTGTGGCCTTCAGATTCTGCTGGTCTTGGCAACATCTCCATCTTTCATCCCTCCTAATGGGCAGCCTGGAAAGACAGGAACAGAAGTGGCTCTTGGCCTCATCCAGCTACCCATCTTGCCTCGTGAATCAGATCCATGTCAACGCCACTCAGCCAAATATTTCCTCAACTTGCGCTTGAAGATCTCTAGCGATGGAGAGTCCGCAATACTTTGAGTTCAGCAGTCTCCAACCTTCTCAGACCCAGAACCCATTTTTAGCCCAGACATACATTGGGAGACCCCACTTCTTAATTAGTATTTTTAAAAGTATTTGTATATTGCAGCTTTCCCCTCAATCTTCTGCCTGCTTGCTGTTTTGGACTACGACTCCCATAAGCCCCTGCCAGCAACTGGTTATCACGACTGTGCTGCTAGTGCAACCCAACTAGGTCTGTAGGTCATCCCAACCCACTAGTTGCAAAACAGGTGCCTTAGACAATGGTTCCCAAAGTGGATGGTACACCCCCTTTGTGGGGGGTGGGGTAGGGGGATTACTTGGGGGACTAAGAAACAAGCGAGTGGCAGAGGGTGCTGGAGGTGTAAATGACTATCAGACTGTGAAAAGCTGGTCTCACTGGAAATGTTTAGTTGGGGTTGGCAGTTATTTTAATTTGGGTATAACTGTAAACTGTTTACTATAGTTGCTATTATTGTTGTTATTATTGGTTTCTATTGATTTATATTGGTTTGTTTGTTGCCTGTATAGTATATTCTGTTTGATTATAATGTTTGATTATATATGCTGTAAGCCGTCCAGAATGGGTGGGCGGGATATAAATTAAAAGATGATGATGATGATTTGTTGTTGTTGTTGTTGTTGTTGAATTAAATGAACTACATAAATAGTTTCAACTGGATTTTGAATAAATATGCAATTAATAGCTGCTGCTTTGATTTTTATTGTGTTATGAACTTCCTTCGTGGGCTGTGCAAACTGCTATTCCGAAGGATGTTTTTAATGAGGGGGGCCCTCTGGGGATGAGTTTATGGAACCAAGGGGGAATGGACCAAAAATGTTTGGGAACCGCCGGCTTAATCCATCGCAGTTGTGCACCTTTATGGATCGTCCCAGCATCCAACCATCTTTTGCAATCTGAGCCCATTCTTTGTCTAATCTTGCTTACAGGAGGCACAGAGAATTCTCATCCTGCTGTTGCTCTCATTTCTTACCGCAAACGGATTTAGGCTGGGGGCCTTCTTGAGTAAAAAAACCCTCACAATGGCACCCAACTATGGTAGTTGCACTCACTCAGAATCTCCTCTCTTCATTATTGGGGAACTTCCCAATAATTGGTTAACAATTAATGAGTGCAACTTGGGGTGGGGAGAGATGCCATTTGGGTTTTTGTGCGACAATAAGCTGTGCAATCCAAAAGAAAGGTACACACGCTTAGTTCTTTTGTGGGCGGTGCTTTTCTCTTGCGCCAAGTGTGGAGAGAGTCCTCTCTTTCTGGGGTTTTGGCCCACAGAGAATGCCTCCACCCTCTTGTGTCACATGAGAATCACAGGATAGTAGAATCGGAAGGGATCTTCTCATCTAGTCTGTGTCCCAGCCACAGCTGGAGAATCTGAGACTGAATGCAAGAAGCGTGAGGGAAGTCCCTCAAGAAAAATGGGTTGGCGGTTGACGAATAGAAAGGAGGGCCTTCCTTGTACGATGCAGGATTAATGGGTGGAATTTGTTGCCCCAAGTTCTGGTGAAGTGTGGGCGGTTTAAAAGGGGTGAGAGAAAATGGATAGCAGAGCAGGTCTAGGCTCCATGTTCTGAGGAAGCCTCCCTCAGAATACAGGGTGCCTTCATCCTCTCCCTGGAGGTATCTGCTTGCCATTGTTGGAGACAAGAGTTATGTAAGAACATCAGAGGATGCCTGGAGCTGGATCAGGCTAAAGGCCCATTCTAGCCCAGCATCCTGTCCTCAAAATGGCTGACCAGATACCCACAACAGGAAGCCCATGAGCAGGACTCAGTGCAACAGCAACTCTCCTGAGGAGAATATCTGAAGAGAAAGGACGCGGTGCCCAGATATTTAGAATTTAGCAGCCCTGGAAGCAGAGCTGAATGGAAAGTGGAAATCAGGCTCTGTGTAGGAGGAGAGAGAGTCAGCAGTGGCCGTCCCAGGCAGAAACCCAAGTCCACTTCTCTGACATACTGTGGGGGGAGGCATTCAGTTGTGGGTCTCCGCACTGCACACCCACGAACAGTCGAGTCCCAACCAAATGTTTAAAGTGCTCAAACTGAGGAGGAACATTCAAAAGGGTCCCCCCCCCTTCTGATGCAGACGCCACGTTCCTCTGGAACACAGAACACTGAGGTATAAAGTGCGATAGCGGAGAAAACGCTCACCCAGGGGCTCTCAAAGGAGTCACCGCCCGAGGGAGGCGGAACGAAGGTCCCTCAGAGAAATCAAAGCCACAGAGCGCCGCCAGAGAGGGCTCCATCACTGCTCCTTGGGCCGCTCCACCTCGGGGACATTGCTTTGCAGAATGAGTGTCGTGCCGGAGGACCGGAGGAGGGCCATGGTGAAGGCAGCCACGAGTGCGAGGTTGCCCAGGAGGGCAGCTCCGAGGATGGCAAAAGTCCTGGGTGAAGGTGGCCGCCGGGGCGTGAGCGCTCAGCCAGGCCCGGCGTGAATGCAAGTCCCATAAAACAGATTCCAGTTGGAAATGGGTGCCCACGACAGCGCAGATGTGGAAGAGCTGGTGGCTGTGTCCTGTGGCGAGGGTTATGGAGGTGGGAGAGAGAAGAGATGGGGTGATAAGAGAAGATCAAGAGAGAAAAATGGTTGTAACATCATCATCATCATCATCATCATCACCATCATCATAATTTATACCCTGCCCTCCCCGGCCAGAGCCAGGCTCAGGGCGGCTAACACAATACAATCACAGTAAAAACATAATAGGGGGAAAAAGAAAAAAATTAAAATACAGGTTAAAATGCAATTTAAAATGCAGCCTCATTTTAAAAGTAGCCAGTAAATCAAAACCCTAAGGGGAGAGAAACATAAGGGTCAGACTGAGTCCAAACCAAAGGCCAAGTGGAACAGCTCTGTTTTGCAGGCCCTGTGGAAAGATGTCAAGTCCTGCAGGGCCCTAGTCTCTTGTGACAGAGCATTCCACCAAATTGGGGCCAGTACTGAAAAGGCCCTGGTCCTAGTTGAGACCAATCTAACCACTTTGCGACCTGGGACCTTCAAAATGTTGTCATTTGTGGACCTTAAGGTCCTCCGTGGGGAGGAAGAAGAAGAACTGGGGCTGGATAAAGCCAATGGCCCATCCAGTCTGTTCTCACCGTGGCCAACCAGATGCCTTTATCAGTCAAGCCCAAGAGCACTCTCTCGTCCTGTGGTTTACAGCAAGTGGTATTCAGAAGCATTTCCTGCTTCTGACTTTGGACTTGATTAAGGTAAAGGTAAAGGATCCCTGGACAGTTAAGTCCAGTCAAAGGTGACTATGGGGTTGCGGCGCTCATCTCGCTTTCAGGCCGAGGGAGCCAGTGTTTGTCCACAGACAGGTTTCCGGGTCATGTGGCCAGCAGGACTAAACCGCTTCTGGCACAACCAGACACCGTGACAAAAACCAGAGCGCACGGAAATGGCGTTTACCTTTCTGCCGGAGCGGTACCTATTTATCTATTTGCACTGGTGTGCTTTCGAACTGCTAGGTTGGCAGGAGCTGGGACAGAGCAACCCCATTGCAGGGATTCAATTATCTCCACCCCGGCCCACACCATCCCCCCTTCTCTTACCAATGTAATCAAAGCGCCCAGGGGCCAGGCGCTCCGGCAGGTGGGAAGCGAAGAGGAAGCCAGTGAGGGCTGCGAAAATAAGGTGGTAGAAGTAACCAGGGATGGAGTCATTCCAGGCACAGTCTTCGCCAAAGCAGAACAAGAGCTGAAAGGTAAGGAAGTGGTATGAGTCAGCCAGGAAGGCTGGCCCTGGAAGGGAGGAACAGCAACACCATGCCACAGGGCAAAGCCACCTGTTTTAGGGGACAGCATGAGGAGCAAAGCCACCTGCTTCCTGTGGCACCATGAGGAGAGGAAAGAAATGAAGGCAGGAATTTGCATCTGCATGGCACAGCAAGACTTGAGTGTGGGGAGGCTCACCCCAAAAACTATCAGGACTAATCTGGATTATTGGTATGCAATTGGGAAGGTAGGGGAAACTGCACATTCAGTCCTTAGAGGCCAAAGTAAAAAAATATATGAACGTAAGAACAGCCCTGCAGGATCAGGCCAGTGGCCCATCTAGTCCAGCATCCTGTTCTCACAGTGGCCAACCAGGGAACCCAGCAAACAGGAGCTGAGCATAAGAACCACACTCTCCCCTCCTGCAGTTCCAGCATCCGCTGTTCTGATGCATTATTGCCTCTGATTGGGAGGGCAGGGCCTAGCCCTTGTGGTTAGCAGCCATTGACAACCCTCTTCTAGCAGAGCCCCCCACCCCCAAGGCTACATTGCCCCCACCGTCATCCTACCCTGTAGAACAATGGAATGTTGTCGAAGAGGAAAGGGTAAGCGAAGGCTGTAGTCCTCAAGATCTTGCACAAAGAAGGACACTCCAGTTCCAGGAATCTAGACCAGGAGAACAACGGGAGGGGGAGGGAAAGTTCCAATTAAAAGGTGGTGAAAACAGCCTATGAAGGAAAAAAAAGTCAGGGTAGGGTGGAGTAGCAGTTCTGGCGGTTCCCTCACTGCGACAAGCCAAGTTACAGGGAACCAGGCAGAGGGCCTTCTCGGTAGTGGCACCCGCCCTGTGGAATGCCCTCCCACCAGGTGTCAAAGAAATAAACAATTATGTGACGTTTCGAAGACATCTGAAGGCAGCCCTGTTTAGGGAAGCTTTTAATGTTTAACAGACTACTGTATTTTAATATTTTGTTGGAAGCCTCCCAGAGTGGCTGGGGAAACCCAGCCAGATGGGCTGCGTATAAATAATAAATTATTATTTATTTTATTATTATTATTATTATTATTATTATTATTAGCAGTTTTGAAACGGAGCATCTAGATTGGGCTTTAAAACAGCCCCCTGGCACTCCATCTACAAGAACCTTGTAAGAGGGCAGCTGCCCAGTTGGCACTGACCTCATGATGGGGGACTTTTCAGTGGTAGTTCTCCCAGTGACATAGCTAGCTACTCAGGCACCCGGGGCGGCGCACGCACCCTGCATCTGGGGGCAGGGCAAGCCGGCCATGAGGGTGGAGCAAGCTGCCCACGGGGCGGGGCAAACCAGAGCAAAGCATGCTGCGCGGAGCCTCCACAGGACACAAGTCCCACACTGCCGTTTCGGTCAGTGTGGAGTCTGCAGGCACCCAAGCCACTGGGCCCGCCTGCTCCCCCCCGCCCAGCTACCCGTCTGAGTTCCCCAGGTGCAGAATGTCCTTCCCAGCACGATGTGTCTGTCTCCATCACTCAGTGTGGCGTAGTTGCTGGAGTGTTGGACCAGCATCTGGGAAACCAGGGTTCGAATCCCCCACTCCGCCATGAAGTTAATTGAGTGGTCTTGGGACAGTCACTCACTCTCAGCCTAGCCTACCTCACAGGGTAGTTGTTGTGGAGATTAAATGAAAGGGAGAACCATGAAAACCACCTTGAGCTCCGTGGGGCGAAAGGCGGAAATAAATAAATAAATGAATGAATGAATGAATGAATGAATGAATGATATGTACTGAGTTGAATACGATCCAAAATGCAGCAGTCTGATGGGTCCTGGAACAATAGGATCCAAAATGCAACTGTCTGATTGGTCCTAGAACAATAGGATTCAGAATGCAACAGTCTGATTGGTCCTAGAACAATGCAGCAGTATGATTGGTCCGCTGGAGCCACCCAATGGAGGTGGAAGTGAACCCACAACCTGATTAGCCTACAGGAGAATCCCGGAATTAGCCAATCACATGCAGCCCATTGTGTAAATAATGTATATAAAGCAGATATTGCGGGGGAACTTCCATTCCTCCTCACCACTATGAGCTGAATAAAGAGCATGAAATCCACTCTCAACTCAGAGTATATTTCAATAAATAAATAACATTAAAAGCTTCTCAAAACAGGACTGCCTTCAGAAACAATGAATGAATAAATATAACTTGCAGGAGGAATTTGAAAACATTCCTGTTTGCCTTGACACTTGGTGGCTGAAAGATACTGCTCCTAGCAACCTCAAGATCAGCAGGCAGAAGGATGTTTTCAAATGTAGTTGCTTGTAATGGTTTCATATTGTAATTGTTTTAAGAACATCTTGATCTGTTTTAGAAAGCTTTGGCTTTGTTTTTTAAATTGTGCATCTGTTTGCTACCTGGGGCTCCTTGAGAGGTGCAATTATTATTATTATTATTATTATTATTATTATTATTATTAATCTACATTCTGAAGATAGGCATTGATTAAGAAAATGGAGGCCTGCAGCCACGCAGCAAACTCAGGGCCAGGACGACTTAGGCTGCCACTTAACCTAGAAGTAAACCCCACTGAAGTCAATGGGGCTCACTTCTGAGCAGACGTGTGTAGGAGTCTTCTATAAACCTCAGTGCGTTTGCACAGGAGTAAGCTCTGGGACCTCTGCGGTCATAGAGCCATTGAATTGTAGATTTGGAAGAAACCCATGGTCATCTAGTCCAACCCCCTGCAATTGTGTGAGCCAAAAGGCCCTCTTAGCCACAAACTCGCTGGAGGAATCCTAACCCCAGCACTTTCAGTCCTAGAACTCCACCCTCACCTGAAATCAGGGTGGATGGGTTGCACTTCTGCAGCTCAGATATGAGGCCAGGGACTTGTAATGTCCACCTTAATGGACCCTTGCCCCAGGACCCTTGCCCCAGGCTTCTTTCACCTGGTGATTTATTGTTTATTTATTTTGCATTCTTTCCTTCTTTTTTAACAGCAAAGGGACCCCCCCCCATCCCAGGTATATGGTTGGTGGTAGGACAGGACATCTCCATTTTCACTTGTTTTCTTCCCACCCACCCCCACCTGCCACAAATCCCTCCTGTCATATAACCGGTAACTTCTGTGTTTTTAAATCTACATACAAAACTATTTGCGGTTGAAGGTTACTTAATGATCTGGTGGCAGGTGAATATACAGACATCCTGCGAGGATGATTTAACAAAGTTCTTGGTTTGAGCTGAAGTGGTTTTGGGGAAAGAGTGACACTTTTTGACTCATATTTGCTAGCAAACATCAACTGCTTAGTTTCACTCCCTGTTTGATTTTTGACAAGGTTCCGAATTATAGAAAGCGCTGGATCTGAAGCCATAGTTGGCCCATGGTTGCCTTGCTGGCAATAAGATCTTTAAAATAAACTGAGCTCCAAAATGCAGCCTTTTTTGAAATCTGATATGCCACAACTTCACATCTGTGCAAGATACACTGTTTTCATTTCAGCTCTGACCTCGGCACGGCACAAAAGCCTTACCCAGTGCTTTTTTTTCTCTGGGGGCACCCAAGGCTATGAAATAACAGCACCTTCTCCCCACCCCCACCCCCACAAATGTTTAAAGTGTGGCAATAACAGTACAAACTTCATGGTGAGGAACGGCTCCTTCTTTTTCCTTAAAAAAATAAAATAAAAGCACTGGCCTTACTTACCGGGAGTAACAAGACAGGCTGGTGCAGATAAAGGAATTCAGGGCCGCCAGAGGGACAAAGCAGTGGTGCAAAGGGCCATCTACCCAGACGTCAGGCATTGCGTAGGCTCCGTACGTGATAGCGCAGCCTATAATAAACAGAGAAGAAACTTGCGCAACCTCTGTTGGAAAATTCAAGACAGATTAAAGGGAGTCCTAAATGCAGCACATAGTTAACCTACGGAACTCCCTCCCACCAGCGACTTGAAGGCTGCCTCACCCAAACTGTAGAGGCTGAGCGCTCCGTAGTCCAAGAAGTAGCAGATGTGCCTGGCATGGGTGGACATGGTGCTGAACGTGTGGGCACAGCTGGAGGTGAAGGGGTAGAGGCACACCAGCACCATGTAGGCCAGGAAAGGCCAGCTGTAGGTGTCACGCCAGAAGTCCAGGCTGTAGGAGAGCATCAGGAAGCGCCACAGAAAATACCTGCAAGGGGCCAAAGGGCATCCAGGAGAAGGACAACGGGACAGAGGTTCCCAAACCTTTTCAGCCCATAGTCCCCTTGGTTCCATAAACACGTCCCCAGTGACCTTATCTAAAAAGCATTGTTCAGAATAGTAGTTTGCACAACCCAGTAAGGAAGGTAACAACACAATGAAATCCGAAACAGGAACAATTAAACTGCATGCTTTATTCAAAATCCAAGTGAAACTATTTAATCGGTTCAACAAAATTGATGAAGTTGATCCTGTGGTACCAGCTTTCCAAAGTCATTTACAGACCCTCCAAGCGTCCCTGTTTTCCAAGGACAGTCCTGGATTTACAAAAGCCATCCTGGTTTCTGATTCGATCCCGAATGTCCTGCTTTTTCTTAGGATGTCCCTATTTTCATCAGAGAAATGTTGGAAGGTATGGAGTTATGTGACCCGCAAGCCAAGGAGATAAGTAACTACACAGAACGCGGCTGAAAGACGCTGCAGACTTACCACGTCGGCAAAAAATGTGTCCAAATGTTGATGGTTTCGTTGTTCAGCTGAAAAGAGCTGAGGACGCAATCCAAGGCAGAGCTTTTGGGGTGACGGTAGCCAGAGATGATCCCATCTTCCCAGAAGATCTACAGGACAGGATTTGCCCAATGAGACACTTTTGAGTTGCCAAGACAGAAATTTAGCAGAAGTGAGGCCTGCATGAAAAGCTTTATTGAAGTGTCCCGTCACTACAACTCCACCTGCAGCAACAGACTCTCCTTAACTTTAGTTCCGTTAGTTCAGAGGTAGGGAACCTTTGGCCCTCCAGATGTTGCTGAACTACAACTCCCATCAGCCCTAGTAAGCATGGTCAATGTGGAAGGGTGATGGGAGTTGGAGTTCAGCAGCATTTGGGAGGTCAAAGGTCACCAGTGTGACCACCAGGACCCCCTTTGGCACCCACAAAAGGTTTCAGTAGATATCCCCTCAAAAATCCACAACTGCTTCTGTTTGCTCAGCCTCTCCTGCATTGAACATGTCCCCCTATATAAGCTCACATTTCTTTGGGTGCCAAGAATGGATGCCCTCCCTCCCTTCCGTTCTGAACAGAGGAGAGGTACAAAGAGCTTGTCTCTAAGAGTGAAGGTGGCAGTGACTGCTGTAGGGGTCTTTCTCCCCGCTGTCGTCCTGCCTCTCTTTCTGCTCATTCAGATGTAGCAGCCATAATGCTACGGCCCCACGGCAGCCATTTTGTGTTATGCCACTCCTGCAGAGCAGCCATTTTGTGGCTGGCGCCCACGGCATACTCTCCAAATTCCTAATGGGCCTCACTGGCTCCAAAGACTCTCATTTTATATCTTCCCTATTTCACATTTTAACAAAACACCCCCGGCCAATAACGACCTTCTATCCCATTCCCAGAGTCTATAAGCAGAGAAACGATCCAAACAGGAGGGTTTCAACTTGTTAGGCTGCATTCGCATGTAATGTGAAAATGCTTAGAGAGTTCATGCTCTTTTAAGCGCGACTTGGAACAGCCAGCCTTCAAACAGAGGATCACCCTGTGGCAGAAATTCAACTGGTGCAGTTTCCTTGACTGACTAGCCTCCAAGGTGTGTTGATTTTAAGAGACTCTCCCAGAAAAAATCATGCGTAATGGGATTGGGTTGGGAGGAGATGGCCCCTACATTGTAAACACTGGAAGAATAATTTACTCACACGAGGTACTTGGTGGACCCTGAAGATCTGAGGCAGCTTTATTGTAAGCATTTCCAGTCACAGCGCACGGGATTCTCTTGGAGATGTGTTTTTAAAGGCAACTCTGCTTGTGGGGAGAGATTTTGCCAAGTGGTCCTGGGCAGCTGCAGTCCACAACCCCCTTCCTCCAGGTAGCTCTGGAGATGGGGAAGGGGGTCAACATTTGTGTCCTAAAATGACAAAGGAAAAAGGAGGATGGGTCCGGGGGATATACGTATACAGGAGAGAGAGAGATAGAGAGATGTGAAAATTCACCCAAGGGGCAAAAAAAGTGTTCAGAACCCAGGAGTTGCTGTCACCAAACATGGAGCTACAGAGTTTGTACAACTGAGGTCCTCCTAGCCCTTGGGTGGCAAATAATAACCTCACAATCAAATTTAACAATAAATAAATAAATGAAACATATATTTATACAATCAAAATATATATAAAAAAATGTCCAGTAGCACCTTGGAGACCAACTAAGTTTGTTCTTGGTATAAGCTTTAGTGTGCTTGCACACTTCTTCAGATACACAGAATCAATTTTCAACTGCATCAGACCAACATGGCTACCTACCTGAATATATTTATACACAACAACTTTAACCTTCCCCAACATAAAAATAAAACAGGCTCTTTTGAACCTTCGGACCTCCTCCCATCCCTCCATGGGTTCCATTAAAAAAAAAATCTTTTTTCTTTTTTCTCCTGCATCTTTTACCATTATCCATCTATTATATAATCAGAGTTACCAAAATTGATGATACAAGTGTCATTATATCCCTGCCAATGATTTTAACAGTCTACAGTGGTCTTTTAAGTATATTAAGAAGTTTTTGATAAATCGATAAATAAAACAAAACAAATCAACACCATAAAATTAATAAATAGTCACAAATAAAACAGGGAGCAGAAGCAGAAATAGAATCATTAGAATCATCGGGTTGGAAGGGACCCCTAAGGGTAATCCAGTCCAACCCCCTGCAATGCACAGCTAAAGGATCCCTGACAGGTGGCCACCCACCCTCTGTTTAAAAACCTCCAATGAAGCCCACCGCCTTCCGAGGGAGTCCCTTTCACTGGTGAACAGCTTATATAAAGTGCCGTTGCCATCAAGGGGCAGAGAATTGTGTCCAGACCTGTCAATCTGAATGCAAAAACGCCAGCAGCCTGATGCACCTCAGAAGGGAGGGGGATGATTCCAGAAGGCTGTGGGACCCCCTTCCCCTTCAGCTCCAGGGACTGCCAAACTCACTCTGCCAGGGGATCACCTAGAGGCCTTCCAGCTGTTCCTATTTTCTGGCAATTCAGCACCTGGGAGAGCTTCAAAAGCACTTCTTAGGCATTATCTTGCTGCAAGCCCTAAAACAGCCCAGTAAGGCAGGCCAGCAACACGACCCCCCAGCCAGCAAACGCCAGAAAGCCAAGCCCAGGGGAATAGTTGTTTACGAGGTCATGACGGAGACCAAGGGTTCTCTGAGGGTTTCCTGATTCACAGAACAGGAACACTGATATATGTCTCTCCCTTGCAAACAATTTGTCTAGTTTAGAGATATTTTGGTCAGGGTTTGCTGCTGGGTGTGTCAGTCTTCGTCCCCCATTCAGCGCAATGGCCAGAAGCTTCTGAAGTGTGTGTTCATGTGTTAGGTCGCAATGCCCCACAACAGAGTCCTTAACTCATCATTTTCTAAGCTTCATAAAACTTTTCAAGTCACATTGGATCTGTTTCTCCTTTATTGTGCGACTGCTGCAGATCACACACAGGCAGAAACAGAGGTCACCCAGTGGTTGACGGAGCATTCGAACTCTGGTCTCCAAAGTCACACTCTGAAAAGCCTTCGTCTATTTTTCTGTCCATCCAAAGAAAGGGATGCTTGGCAGGGTGGGAGATTTCTCATAACTCTTAACTGCACTACAGCACACTCTCTAAACCACTGTCCCAAGATGATTTACACATAGAATAATTAAAACAGTTAATGCAAAAAAACAAAAACAAAACCCAACAACAACCAGCAAATACATTTGCAGTGTTGCACTCCACCCCAATCTCTGAGCAGGGCGAGATTCCAGGGGTTCCAGGCAGCTTCGTGTTGTTTCCTTTTGGTAATGAGGCACAGCAGAGACTGTGGTGTCTTTATGCTATATAGTTTATTTACACATACATGCAACCTGAGCCTACGATGGAGGGGTTCACAGTATTATCACCCCCCAAAAGCGTCTTGTTTCTCCCATAGCTACAGCCTTGGATTCAAACAAAAACCAAACACTGCTCTGCCTCCCAGTTTTCTGCTTCCCCCCCTAGCACACATCACTCCAACTTTCAACTCTCGCTCTGCCTTTCTAACTCCCTGTGAGTTGAGGGATTTGCCATCTCACACAGAGCCTCTTTCCTGTTGCTACCTTTAATGACCCATCATCCAGGCGATTGCCTCATCCAGGAGCTACCCTGGCTTAAATTTTGACTCTTGCTGGATCCAGGGGTTAGCAGGGTCTCAGCGTACAGCCTACCTCCCCACCCCAACTGATAACAATAGCAAGACTAAAACTCTAACAGGTGGACACTTCTGGTAAAAACCCATTTATCCAGCTGGGGAAACCTGCCAGAACAGGAATATCTTTGACTGTTTCCTCCCCACGGGACAGGGGTAGAAGTTTGGAACTTGCAAGAGAGACTCTCTGGCAGACTGCAGTGATCTATTGTGTGCAGAAGGGGGTAGCATCCCAAACAGGGTTGTTGACAGGGGCAGGATGTCCTGGTCCGATCACACCAGCTACAAAACAGCTTCTGGACCATTTCCAGGCCCAATTCTGTGTGCAAGCTTCAATTTTTGACACCCTAACAGCATGGAATTGGTTGGTTTTACTGCTTTTATCTCTGCTGTGGCGCAATTTAGACAGGAAATGTATTTATACCGTGTTGTGTTTTAAACTCTGTCATATGTGTGCCCCCCGGAGAAGCTCAGAGTTATGGGGAGGCGGAGAAATATTGGAAATAAATAACTGAAGCCAGATGCATAATGCAAGAACACACCATAAAACCACAAGATGTGATAAAACAGAGACAGGCTCATCAGATGATTATTTAGTCATAGTACTTGAGTTGTTGCACAAAGGTCTCCTAGTGACTTACAGTGTGTTTAAAAACATGAACATCAATGCATTACAATGCTGACACATTGACACATGCAGTTCAGAAAAATATATACAAAACATCACTCTTTTCATCTGCCATAGCAGCAGGAAGTTTTGGCCACCCGCAAACAGCATAGGACACAGAGTCACAGCATACATTTAAATCCCAAATAATTATGGGAACTGAAGTTTGTTGAGGGTACTAAGAATTGTAGGTCTGTGAGGGGAACTAAAGTTCCCAGGATTCTCTGGGGGGAAATCATGCACTTTCAATGTGTGGCTCTGCCTAAAAGCATCATCATTGGAGTCTACCAAAAATCTGGTGGGGGGGGGAGAAAGTTTTTTTATCTGGCTCTGAAAAAATGCCAGTGAAGGCCCAAGGCTTACCTTGCTAGCAGAGAGCAGACCCTCCAAGTGTTCCTATTTTCCAGGGATGTCCCTGATTTAGAGAAGCCGTTCCAGTTTCTGACTGGATCCCAGAATGTCCTGCTTTTCCTTAGGACGTCCCTATTTTCATTAGAGACATGTTGGAGGGTATGGAGTTATCCAACCCCTGAGCCATCTGAAGGCAATCCTGTATAGGGAAGGGTTTTTTTTAAAAAAAAGGTTTAATGTTCTATTGTGTTTTTATATATTTTGGAAGCTGCCCAAATTGCTGGGGCAATCCAATAAGATGTGTGGGGTATAAATAGTAAAATTATCATTATGGAATGGGACGTCCCTATTTTCATCGGAGAAATGTTGGAGGGTTATGGGAGAGCATTCCACAGATGGGGAGGGGCCCCTGAAAAGGCCCTCTCCCTTGCCATCCCCTTCCAGGCCTCCCTCAAAAATTGGACCCAGTGATAAAACAGAAAAATCAGACAGAAAAGCAATAGGCATCTGCTAAAACAAAAGCCTGCTGGTTTGTTTGTTTTTTAAAAAAGCTTGAGCCAGCAAAGAACAGCAAGAGAAGAACGCAAGCAACCTCATGAGGCAAGGAGTTCCACAGTTCTGGTCCATGTAAAGCGCTGACCATCTCTATTTTGACAATGAGAGGGGGGGAGAGGAGTGGGACATGGGAGTTGTCTGCCAGTTCTCCCTCCAAAATCTTTTCCCTTTCAGCCAAGGAGACCTTTCATTCGCAGGGGTGGGGGAAGAAATCTTTCTCTCCCCCCCCCCCGTTTCCCCCCAAACTAGAAATCAAGTTCTCTTTTGTTCCTTCGCACAAGGCCACCATTGACAGCTGAAGGCCCTCTGAGTCACATGGTTGACCACAGGGGAGTCAAGGCAAAACGATGAAGGCTTTCGGCAGGGATGGAAATAAAAGATTAATTACTTCTTTGTAACCAACCCAGACAAAAAAGATTCTGAGGAAAAACCCGCCGGAAAGATGGGAGGGCACCCAAAGCTCAAAGGTCAGAAGAGGTTCCCTCCCCCACCATCTCATTATCCATTTTTCCAGTTTGGCAAAATGTTGCATCCAATAAAAATCACCAGTTGTGCTTCCCCGTCACCCCATCACCCCAAACACTCCTCTTCTTCCACCCTGGCCCTGCCTCTCTCCCTTCCTGCTTTCTGTCCTGTGTGTGCCAACCAGCACTGGGCTCCCTTCTTGCTGAAAAAGACCCAAGCCAAGGCTGAATTCTTGGGAGATAAAATCACCCTTTCCATCGTCCCAGCAATAATTTTTTGAAGCGCGGTCTCAAAGGCGTGCTGGGTTTGGGAGCTGGGAGAAGCAGGGAAAATGAACATAAGGAGATCCCTGCTGGATCAGGCCAGTGGCTCACCTAGTCCAGCATCCTGTTCTCACAGTGGCCAACTAGATGCTTGTCTAGCAGGATTCGGGCACAAGAGCACTCTCCTTTCCTGTGGTTTCCAGCAACTGGGATTCAGAAGCACTCCTGCCTCTGACTGTGGAGACAGGGCAGAGCCATTGTGGCTAGCAGACACTGACAGCCATGAATTTGTCCAGTCCTCTCTTAAAGCCATCCAAGCTGGTAGCTGTCACTGCCTCCAGTGGCAGGGAGTTCCATAGTTTAACTATCTTCTCTGTCCTGAATCTTCCAACGTTCCAGTTCATTGGATTTCCACACGTTCTATTGTTATGAGAGAGGGAGAAAACCTTTTTTTTCTATCCTCTTTCTCCCTGCCAAGCATAATTCTATAAACTTCTACCATGTCACCTCCTGCTTACCTTTTCTCTATACTACAAAGTCCCAAAGGCTGCAACCATTCCTCACAAGAAGGGAGTCGCTTCATCCCCTCAATCATTTTGCTTGGTCATTTCTGAACCTTTTCCCAATTCTACAATATCCTTTTTGAGGTGAGGAGGCCAGAACTGGACACAATATTCCAAATGCGGTCACACCATAGATTTCTATAACGGCATTATGATACTGGCAAGTTTTGCTTTCAATTCCTTTTCTAATGATCCCTAGCATGGAATCTGCCTTTTCTACAGCCGCGACACACTGGGTCAACATCTTCACTGAGCTGTCCAGTATGACCCCAAGGTCTCGTTCCTGGTCAGTCCCCACCAGTTCAGACCCCATGAGCGCATATGTGAAATTAAGATTGTTATTTTTGCCACAACATGCAACACTTCACAGTGAACATCATTTACCATTCACCTACTTTGGGGAGGTCCTTTTGGAGCTCTTCGCTGTGGGATATTGCAGTCTAATATAACTAGAAAGCTTAGGGCTAGTTAACGCATGAAGGGGTTAAGACCATGGAACTGTATTCCTAGACTCAGGTCATACCGCTTTAGCTCCATTGAAGAAGGAAGTGAAGCTTCCTTTGTTTACTCTCTTGTACAATGTGAAGCTCACCAGGCAACGTGTATGAGCTTGACCGCTTCAAGCCCAGACCGCATGCTCAGAAGTATTTATTGGTATTTTGCAACCCAATAATTTTCTACCTGTGTTCTTATTGTTGCTGCATGGAATAGCGTATGAATGTGACTTTGGAGTTTGTAAGTAAAGCATTTAAACTTACTAAATAGTCCAAAAGCAGCTGGAGACCCAAGTTTGGGAAACACTGGTTTAGGCAAAGCCCACCCAGAAACGTAGAAGTGGCATGTGCTTTATTTTTGTTTACCTACTGTTGATTCCCCCCGCTTTACAAACCAGAAGTATATAATTTTTGTTAAATAAATAGTCCCCACTAGTAGTGCTCAAGGCCTGAGACCCCCCCTCCCCACACATCACATCCAGTGGAGCCATGCACTTAAAGAACCCCAACAAAATTATCCCCAAGCCCTAACACCCCTGCGGAAAACATCAGTTGCTTTGAAACCCAACAATGAGCTTCATTTTTCTCCTGGATTTACCCAACACACACATCTGCCACAGGCAAGGTTTTAAGGAGGTATTTGGCAATTAAAAAAACAAACAAACCTTGAAAAATATAATAAAGGTGGCTTTCTCAGGCAGCAAAAGCTTTTTTAGCGCTTAAGAGATTTTCCATATTCAAAAGCACTTAGCAGACATTAGCTAATTGAAGCCACCCGCCTTCCTTTGAAGAACAAAACAAATCCCCTTCCTCCAAGGTAATCATTGCAAATGATGCTGTGGGCTCCAAATTCTGCATTCATAAGAAGAGCCTGCTGGATCAGGCCAATGGCCCAGCTAATGCAGCATCCTTTTCTCACAGCAGCTAACAAGATGCTTGTAGGAAACTCGCAAGCAGGACCCAGGCAGAAGAGTCCTCTCCCCTCCTGCAGCTTCCAGGCTTCAAGAAGCATTTCTGCCTCCAACTGTGGAAGCAGAGCACAGCCACTGTGGCTGCAAGCCGTTGATAGCCCTCTCCAGTGCTTCCCCCCCCCCTTAAAAAATGTTTAGGGGTACTCTCATTTTGACTCAAGAAAACCACCATTTTATAGTTCAAATCGGGGGAAATAAATACAGTGGTACCTCTGGTTATGAACTTTATTCGTTCCAGAGGTCCATTCTTAACCTGAAACCATTCTTAATCTGAGGTACCACTTTAGCTAATGGGGCCTCCCGCTGCCGCCGCGCGATTTCTGTTCTCATCCTGAACCAAAGTTCTTAACCTGAGGTACTATTTCTAACCTGAAGTATCTGTAACCCGAGGTACCACTGTACTGTCATTTAAATAGAAACATAAGATGGTGTTGACAATGCCAAGGTTGCAAGGTTGGATAAAATTGGATGTCATTTTGAATCAAGATGGCAGAGGAAGCTATTTGGTTTCTGAGAATTCCACTGGGTATGAGGCTTCGTGTGTGTGTGTGTGTGTGTGTGTGTGTGTGTGTGTGTGTTAGATGCAAATTTAGAAGTAATTACAGTGGTACCTCGGGTTAAGAACTTAATTCGTTCTGGAGGTCCATTCTTAACCTGAAACCATTCTTAACCTGAGGTACCACTTTAGCTAATGGGGCCTCCACTGCCGCCACACGATTTCTGTTCTCATCCTGAGGTAAAGTTCTTAACCCAAGGTACTGCTTCCAGGTTAGTAGAGTCAGTAACCTGAAGTGTTTGTAACCTGAGGTACCACCGTACAGTAAATGGACAAAAGTACAAAGATTCACAAAACATTTAGGGGTGTGCGTACCCCTGCACCCCCCCAGGAAAAAAGCACTGGCCCTCTCCTCCACAAATGTGTCTAATCCTCTCCTAAAGCCACCTAGGACCCCCCACTCCCAGGTTTCAATCATCCAAGGGCCATCTAAATCCAACCCCCTGCGCAAATCTGCTTTTATAGCTGTCACCAATTCCATGTTCTCATGTCATACATGTCATACAAACACACATGGGTATATGAAATACCCGGCGATCCTCAACAGCTGCTAGCTGGCATTTGGGTGGGAGACACAAGGACCTCTTTTTCAATGGTAAAGGCAAGTCAACAGTTTTGCTTACCACAGTGCTTTTCATTCCTGCCATGCTGAGCTGGAAGCAAGTCGTCCCCCCACCCCAAGGTTCTAGTCCATGTTGAGGAAAGACAAAGGAAACCTAATGGCTATGCAGAGCAGAACACAAACCCACAAACATCCAACATGGATATTTCCCTCAGATGCTTACCTTGAGTTGACGCCAAGTCCCTCCTGAGTGATGGCACTGGCGTTCTCCATATACACTGGCTTCTCATGCCTAGAAAATCTGATTTTTGACTCCAACCCTCACTTTCCTCTTCTTTATGAGATAAGGAGTGAAGGCTGGTTCTGGCAGTTCCCAAGCAGGGCATAGGGATGACGTACCACCCCTTATCATTTGTCCTCAGCATCTGGCCTTCAGGGCTGAACATGGAGATTCCATTTCCCTATCATTCATTTTTATTGCCTTTGTAGCCCGTATTTTTCTCCCCTTTCTCAATTTAATCCCCACAACAACCCTGCGAGGTGAGGCTGAGAGGAATAGTGGCTGGTCCATGGTCGCCCATTGAGCTTTGAGGCTGAGTGGGGATTTGAACCCAGGTCTTCCAAGTCCTAGTCACTTCTCCACCCCTGGCTCTCGTGGGTGATAACTATCAACAGTTATCTGCTCCCCCGTGAGTTGTCCAACCCCCCACTTTAAAAAACCCCACTGCTAACATCACATTTAACTATGCAGTTGTCTGAAATTGTGGATCAGTCACATAGATCAATCACACCATTGATTTATAAATTTCTTTCATGCCGTCCACTCCTCCACCCCCATTATCTTTCTCCCCCCCAATCTAAAAAGCCCCCAATAGCCTTAGACTCTCCACGCAGGGGAACTGCTCCAACCCCATCCCATCTGATGGGATGACCAGAACAACACACACTAGTTTTGAAATTTTAATGCTAGAGGAATCACACCAGGGACACACAGCTAATGCACCAAAAAAGCTCGGAGAAATCCAAATTCTGTACCAGCAGTCAAAAGGGGCACAGTTAAGTCCTATTTCTAATTCCATTGGTCCACCTAAAAGGGATATTGAAAGTTTAGCAGCTGTGGGCAAGACATTATGGGGATGTAGGTTTCCTCTCTCCTGAGCTGGGCACAGCTGCACTGATTTGTAGAGGAAAAATCCCAATCTCCCTCTCCTCCCAAAAAGTCACACTATCTTCAAATTTATGCCCTATTTTAGAGCTGGGTAAACTGAGGCTCTCTGCTAAGGAACCAGGCTGGTGCAGAGAAGATGGCTTGATCTCATCCTCCTTTTTCTCAACTCTGCCTGCTAAAGTCCCGCTTCCTGAGATAATGGCTGGCTACGCCAGGACCTTAAGACCAGAATCATAGAATTGCAGAGAAGAAAGGGACCCCAGGGGTCATCTAGCCCAACCCCCTGCAATCACAGCTAATAAATCCCTGATAGACAGCCATCCAACCTCAGGCTGAGATCCACTGGGTCCAGAGTACCAAGGCTGTGAGGACCAGGCACATCGATGCGCCCGGAAAGCTTTTCAGCTGCATCCTGAAAAACTTTTGACCAAGGCAAGCTCAAAAGTTAGTTTTTTTTAAAAATAACTCAACAGCTGGCACAGCAGGAAGGAAGGAAGGAAACCACCGCCCAGGCGAGAAGAATGAAAGGCAGGCAAGGAGGCCGAGGAGGCTGCCAGCTTGCAAGCAGTTACCTGCTCCAGAGAGGACGGACCCTGCGGGGCAGACCCCCCCAATGAACCGCTACCAGCACTCCATCTTGTCCGAGTTGCGGGGCCTGCAGCCCGGGCTCCAAGCGAGCTCAGTGTGTTTCTGGTTTTTCCCCCTTAGTTTTTACTCCCCCCGCCGTCTTCTTCCCTAAGCTACATTCCTTGCCAGTTCTGGTGGCGGAGTGCCAGGCCGCCCTCCCCGTTGGCTGGAGTTTATGGGCGGAAGGGGAAGAAATGGGCCTCTCTCTCTTCGCAGAAGCCACCACCATCAGGAGCCAGAAATGCAATAAAAGAGCCCTCATTATTCCTCCCTCCTAAAAGGCAGAAACCGAACGTGTCTTTTTAAACAGGGGATCTGCAGCTGGAGTGTGGAGGGGTGGGGGGAGATGCGAGCCACAGCAGGGTCCTTGAGGACATTTGTTTTTGGGGTTAGGTTGTGGGGGGAGTGCATTTCGGGAGGTCCCAGAGTTACACAGCCGGAGCAAAGCCAGGTGTCAAGCTGAGAGCCTTTTGCACTTTCTGAAGTGACCCAAAATTTCTGCTTCCAGATTTTTGAATTTTGAGAGACAATTTCCAGTGAAATAAGGCGGGTGTTAACTGAGGACTGGAACTCTCCAATCCGAAATGTCTCATATTATATAATTGAAATCGTAATTACAAAGTTATTTTTATTACTCCTAGCCAGTGCAGTGGAGGTACTTGGGAGTACTGCTCTGATTTTCTTTGGACCACATAAGCAAGACTGGGGGGGGGGGTGTCTTGTCATCTGGGCAGTCCTGAACAACCATGCACACTGCCCAGGCTTGCACCCTCATTTTGGTGCTGCTAATGGAGAGGTTTGACTTCACCCCTGGAGGTGCACTCCACTGTCTGTCGAGGCACATGGATGCCAACAAGTTGTTTTGAACCGTTTTTAATGTGTGTTCTAATATTGCAACCCATCTCAGGGACTTAGGGTGAAGGGTGAGACTGGCTTCGCATTTCTGCCGTAGGGGCAATTAAGGATTTTTAAAGGGGTGGGAGAAGAAATCCCTTTTAAAAAAATTCCGCACTGAACAAAATGTCTGTGGAACATAGCCCTGACCCAGAATTCACAACCAGCTCCCTTCGAAGGAGGCTGGAAGATGTTTTTGACAAAAAAGGTAACACAAAAGCCTCTTTCTGCTATTGTTGTGCGATCTGGGTCAGTTGACTGGGGAGACGGCTGTGGCATTCTGCAGTGGGCACAGAGGCTAAGTAAGTGATTTAAGGGCATCACAGCAAGGCGTGGAGCTCAGCGCTGAGAGAGCTCATTGTAAAAAGGCAGGCTTCAGACCAGCTTCAGAGCAAAATCTTGCAAGAGGGAAAAAGCGACCCAAGTGTTGGGACTTTTAAATTTAGAGAAAAGGCAAGGAAGAGGCAACATGATAGAAGTTTATAAAATAATGGATGTCATGGAGAAGGTGGATAGAGGATTATTATTATTTTTGCCCCTCTTATGACCACAGCTCGTGAACATCCAATGAAGTAGAATGTTGGAAAATTCAGGATGGATAAAAGGAATTCTTCACACAGCACGTAACCTGTGGAACTCTCTGCCACAGTAATGGTCAGCAACCTAGAAGGCTTTAAATGAGGATCAGGCAAGTTCAGGGAGAAGGCTAAGGATGGCTACTAGCGGCGGCTCTGTTCTGCCTCCACAGCTGAAGGCAGGAAATGCTTCTGAATACATGAGGGAGGGAGGGCTCTGGGCCTCAGGTCCTGCTTGTGGAGTTCCCAGAAGGGGCACCTGGTTGGCCACTGTGAGAACAGGATCCTGGACTAGATGAGATCCCATTAGGTTGACCCGGCAGCCAGGCTCCTCCTATGTTCTTGAAGTGCAACCAGCAGAGCTTATGGGAGAGAAGCTACCCGACATATTCCCCTTTTTCCAAGTGACAGGCATAGTGCTGGCTGAGACTGATGTGAGTTGCAGCCCAAAACATCTGGAGGGAATTAAACTGGCCAAGGTTGGGCCAACTGAAGAGGTCCCAAAGCCAGAGTAACGTACACAGCAAGAATTAGCACAATGGCACAAAAAACCCCTATGATCTAGCAGGTGTTGGCTAGGGCCAAGTCCCACTGAAATAGTGTTCAAAGCCTTGCCTAACTTAGAAGCACCACCGGGCTCCAGACCTGGTCTTGGTTGAGCTCAGCTGTTTTCTCAAATCTCTGCTAAAACTTCCCAAATTAAAGTTGCAGGTCCAATTCAATTGCACTCAAACATGTTTCGAGTAAGGATGATCTGCCCTTCAAAAGCAACACAGGCTGCACATGCTCAAGAGTGCAGAAGGCCATCTGGACGCCACAGAAACTTGGCACACCCCCATGCCTTAAAGAGGAAGTTGCATCTTGCAAAGGGACACAGCATGCCTTAGAGTAGTGGTTTGTTTTTAAGCCCCATGGGAGTTCCACTTTGGTGGAAACTCAATAATGTTGCACATCCACATTTTCAGGGATTTAAAGTCCTGTCCACCCCTACTACTACAACAACAGCAACATAATAATAATTTATTATTTATACCCCGCCCATCTGGCTGGGTTTCCCCAGCCACTCTGGGCGGCTTCAAACCAAATATTAAAAACAATACAGCATCAGACATTAAAAACTTCCCTAAACAGGCCTGCCTTCAGTTGTCTTTTAAAAAAAGTAAAATAGTTGTTTATTGCCTTGACATCTGCTGGGAGGGCCTTCCAAAGGGCAGGGGCCACTACCGAGAAGGCTCTCTGCATGGTTCCCTGTAAACCATATACTATCTATACTATACTATATACTATAGTATATAGTATAGTATAGATAGTATACTATATACTATACTATAACCTATACTATAGGGTTGGGGCAGGATCCATCCCCAGATGGCAAGGAGGCCAGTCAGAGAATCGGGCAGATGCCACAAGCAGCCTTCCTATGGATGGGCGATTTGGACTCACGAGAACCTCTTTTTTAAAGCTGGGCGTGGGCAAACTCTCTTGGGTACGCCCTGCTCGTTTCAGAATCAACTGGAAAAAGAACAAATCAAGGGGTTCCCCAGCCCACCTTTGCTCCCATCATATCCCCTATAACTCAGACCACATGAAGGCTCAAGAGCAGGCATCCCCAACCTGCGGCCCTCCAGATGTTTTCGCCTACAGCTCCCATGATCCCTAGCTAACAGAACCAGTGGTCAGGGATGATGGGAATTGTAGTCCAAAACATTTGGTGGGCCGAAGGTTGGGGATGCCTCCTCAAGAGAGACACCAGCAAACCAGAATACAGGGAAGAGTTGGAAGCCATAAGAACCTGTTGGGTCAGGCCAATGTCCCACCTAGTCTAGCATCCTCCTCTCAAGGGGCCAAGCAGATACCCCAAAGGGAAACCCCCAAGCAGGACCCAAGCACAAGAGCCATCACCCTTCCTCAGGCTTCTAGCAACTGGTATTCAGAAGCACTGCTTCCTCTGTCTGTGGAGGCACAGCATAACCATTATGGCTGGTAGCCATCAATAGCCCTCTCCTCCATGAAGTTCAATCCTCTTTTAAAGCCATGCAAGTTGGTGGCCATCTCTGCCTCCTGTGGGAGGGAGTTCCGTAGTTCTACATCCAAGGCCCCTGGCTTGGCATCTTTGCTCAGTTGACCCAAGTTAGGGCGCAGGTTGTGTGGCTTTCCCCACCTCAATGGAACACACCATCGCAGGAAAAGAAGTATAGACCACATCCCTCCTCTCCAATAAAATACAAGTGACCACAGATAAAGATTTACAAACATCTTGCATTTTTATTAAGCCAGTCGATGTGTTCCAATCTTACATAGTGGAGGGCCGTATACCAGTAAATCAGGGGCCAGTTCACATCTCTTCCTCCTCCCGCCCAACTCATACTGAGAAGAGCTTTATATGGATGCTCAGATATGGCTCCTGGCCACCTTTAGGACTGCAGATCTCGTAACACGCCTCCCCCTTCCCACCGACTTTTGAACTCCCCACGCTTTTCAGAGAAGCTGCAGTTTGGGCCATACCCCACACCGTTTCTGCTGTAGTCCAAGTCTTTGGAAGCAGCCAGCTCTGGTGCGCAAACTGGCATCAGCGGCAGCTCCCCCCCCCCCATTTCTCTCCTGCCACCAGTTTTCCCAGCCAGAGAATCTCTGCTGGATTTTTTCTCCCTTTCTAGATGCAGAGAACACGCACACAACATTTAAGGAACAGAGTTAAGCGATGGAAGCAGGAAGAAAAGAACTGGAGGGCTATTTGGCACAGCCTACAAGGGTATCTATAGAATTCAAACCCATGTTTCCACCCATGGCTAATGTCCCATGTGAAACACACACACACACACACACACGCTTCTGATGACAGCCCAAAAGATCAGGTTTACTTGGGTGGATGAGCAGCAGAAACCCCAATTTCCAGGAACATAAAATATTAAGATGGATTTCCAACATGGTTTCTCTCTTCCTGCTTAGCCAGAGTTGTTGGGGCTCTGGAGAGTCATTATCACCAGGTCCAGAGCTTGGTTGTACATCATTGGGTTAGGAAAAGGAACTCCCCCCCCCCAAACAGTAGACTCAAATGTGCCCGCTGTGCCTTTGACCTTTGCCATGTGCTAAGCATTAGGTAGAAGCAGCTCATACAAAGGAGACCGTACACATTTACCATCCCTTCTTCCTTCTGACAAGGCAGTCACAGACTCCCAACAAGTGAGGACGGAAAGAGGGAACCTTTTTTAAAAGAGAAAATCCAACCAGAATTGTTTTACTGCTTACTAGGAGTTAGGCTACACTGCAGAGATGGTCTAAAGGTGGGTGCGATACTGATGGTGTAGCCCAAACAAGATGTTTCAAAATCCCTTTACTCCTCCATCCACTTAGAGGAAAACAAAGGGCCTGGCCCCATCATCACCTGCTGCTGAATGTTTGATGGGTAAACAGGTTGGATTTCAAAGCTGAAGGCCACAGGGGCTGCTGTTGGAAGCCAGGTAGGGTGCCGACAGAGCTGGTTGCAAATTTGGCAGGATCTGTTTCCTCAGTAGTACTGATGATGATGATAAATTTCCACACTAAACCCTGCTTCCAAAAGAAACAAGGCTCCAGGCTTGAAAGCCTCACCTTTTCTTTTTCTTTAGATCAGCCTGGACCTCCTTGGCAAGAGTTACTTTTGGGTGAAGTAATAATCTCCAAATGGAGGCAGAAATGTCAGAATTTACATTTAAAACATCCAATTAGCTTGAGCCGATTATTTTCCCCCAAGTGCTTTTTTGGGGGTTCATTTATCATTTGTAATCTAATTTTAACTTCTCCAAAACAGTGGCCCAACAAACAGCACATACACACACACACACACACACACACACACACACACGGGCGCACACACACACATATGCAATGCAGAAAATGTACAGAAGTACTTTTTGTTGGAAGCTCTTTCGAGAGTTCTGATGGGCCATTTGGACCTCTTTTGATACTCCTTCAAATCCTCCAATACCTATTTGCTCTGGCAGTCCAGCTCACCATTTCTGTAAAATCCCTGTTCAATTCACAAAGGGTCCACCTGCACCTTCCCCAGCTGCAGGAGGAGCAAGGGAGGGAAGAGAGGTTCTGCCAAACCTTACCCTGCAGGATAGGAGCATTCAACTGCCTGCACTTCAGAAGGGCAGGATTCTTCCCACAGCCAAACCCTTGGAGAATCCTTAGTTACTTGTTTCTCAAAGTACAAAGAGGACTTCAGTGTTGCAAAAGTACCTTACACAGCTGGTGGGCTGCACTCAGCTTGCAGAACTACATACACTCTTCTTTTTAAAAATGCCCATTTTATGTCGAGTCATTTTGCCCTGCCCCCCCGGTTTTAAAATATATCACTCAGGTAACAACTCCATTTCTTGATTCCACTGCCTCTTCCACCAAGGCTAAAACTTGCCCCTCACAACTACAAAGTGGTCTAGTTTGCTGGCATTTCTGAAGTCTGCACATGCTCTTGTGTACCTTCCTCTCCTCTCCTTGGCCCAATTTGCATCATGGAAGCTCTTCCCCCGCCTTCTGCTTCACCATTTCGAGCAGAACAGCCCAGAATCCCTTAAAAAAAACATAAAACCCCAAAGCAAAACCAGGAGGGAGCAGGTGAGCAACAAACCCCCCTTTTTTCCAGTGTATCCTCTTGGAGGCAAATGATGGGACTCGTGTTCGGTTGCTATTTTGAGAGTGCTAGGATGGCTTAAAAAATTATCAAGCACGTGCTAAGCCAGAGAAATCTAACCTATGGTTCCCAAAGGGTGGCGGCTGTGCTGTCACCTTCCTGCCAAAGGTAGGGGCATAACGGAAGCAGCGAAGAATTTCATCCTGGGTGCCTTGTTAGGGGTGGGAAGGACGCCTGGGAACAGCATAAAATGTTTGAATGTTTGGGGCCAAACCCCATTAATGGAAAACTCAAAAGCTTAAGAAACACAACCTGATTAAAAAGAGATCGAGAGAAGCAGGCGGCGAGGGCCAAATACAGAACCTGCAGAAAACCATCCAAGATGGCGGGCACTGGATGGCCCACAAAGCCACCAGAGGCATCGCTGCCTTGGAGGAAACCACACCTGGCTCTCCAAGAAAACAAGAGTGGGGAAAGGGGGAGGCCTGGCTGGCAACTCACCCATTTCCTATTTGCCTGGCGGAAGGGAAGTGGAATGCAGAAGGAAGTCCTCGCAGGAAACTGCTTCCAAGCCCTTCCAGTCTCTTCCCTTCCCAGAGGGTGTCAAAACCAGGCCTGGGGGTGGGGAAGGAAGACTTGGGAGGTGTATAGGGCAAAAGCTTATTAGGCCCTGAGGTGGCCCGGCCCCCAGAAGAAAAAGCTAGCTTCAAGAAGAAATGGTTTGCCACTACCTGCATCTTTCCAACAGTGACCCTTTGGCAGGCTCAACATAAAACACTGGCCAATGCGGAAGGGAGTCAGGCGTAGAGAACCCATTCAGGAACCTCAACACTCAGACCTTAGTTAACCCTTCCTGGTTTATGGTATTTCAGAGGAGGCAGAGAATACTAGGGGAAGGGAGGCCCCATGGCTTTCTCTGTGGCAAAGGGATACCGTCAGGTTTCCTCCTTCTCCTGCTTAGCCTGCAAAGGCCCCCTTCACTCCTCTCCAATAGCTCTGCACAAGAGGCTAGGCCTTCATCCCTCCTACAACAGCCACAAGGAGCCAGAGAAAATAGGGTTTGTTTGTTTTTCAGGGCAAACCAAGAAACCCAAAGCAAGCCCCATAGAAGGGCCGCCATTTTCTAGTTACCTGTTGTCTGGTGAACAGGGGAATAGAAAGGGGAGGCAGGCGGAACAGCACCATGCAGATGGTCGCTTAACCCCAGGGAATGAAAGGAGAGCTGTAATGTGGGGTTTGTTTCCTCCCTGGCTCAAGCAGCCCAAGATGGTCTATGACACCACTCACAAAATGCAACACTTTATGAGAAAAGCAAAGCGTGGGAAGATGGTGCGGTTTTTGGACAGGCAGAGTGGAGGGTGCAGAAAGGGAGGGGAATGAGGCCCACTGTTTCCTTTTCACAGCTAACTCTGCCCACCCCCCACCCCCAAGGAAATAAATAATGTTTTCATTCGGAAGCTTCTTATAGAGAGCTGTTTTGCTTTGCTGAGACAGGATCACTGTTCCCCTGCCACCTTGACATCTTTCAAACACTCAAAGGTGAAGAACCCTCCCCGGTTTTGGGGGGAAGGGGCAGACAAGGGAGGGGGAAAGGGAAAAACACACAAGAGGCGTGGTCACTAAGCATAAAAAAAAGAAAAACACAATAAGGGGAAGGGGCGGAAATGAAATAAAAATGGGAGAGAAAACGTCCTCCTCCCCATCACCAGATTCTGAAAGAGCCTCCTGCAAATCCTGATCCCCTCTCTCAGGATCACCGGCTCTTTCACAGCGTGGATCCGGTGGCAAAAAGTCACAAATGTCGTGTTTTTGTTTCAAGCGTAGGCGACAAGCTGCCTGCAGGATCCTGGAGACGAGAAACCAAGCAAGCTTTTTGGAGATGAATGGAGGCCCTCCCTCCCACCGCTCACACCCGTCCCCATCAGCTGGGAGAAAAGGAGACCACCTCTCCTCTGTCCGGCCAAGATCCATCTCTCTTCCCCAAGCGGCTGCGTGGTCTGCCACAGACGCCGCCCGTTTGGTGAAATGGGGAGGGGATGGCGGGGGTGTGGATGTGGGGTGGTGTTTCGTGCACACGCCCAGCTGCTTGTTTTTCATGGATTGCCGCGGCGGCGGCAGCTGCTTCGTGTCCAAATATCGCCTGTGGTTTTGACTTCTTTCGTTCCAACGCTGCGCGTCCAAAGACGGGGAGACAGAGCTTCAACCAACCCAGCGGCTTCTCTCCCCTCAACCCATTTCCTTCCACTGCTTGTAGAATTCCAGAACGTTCTTTATCTCGACGCTGGCGTTGGCTGCCGCCTGGATCGCAGACTGGGGAAAGAACAAGGGAGTTGGGATCCAAGTGCAGTAAGGCCCTGGAGGGGAGGTGCTGCTCTTTGCATCTCGCCCTGTAACTCTTAGCTACCCATGATGTAACCATCCTCACCACCCTGAATCTCAGGCCTTTCTAGCCCTGAATTCTGTCTTCCAACAGTATCTGGGCAGCTGAATCCTGGGGAAATCACAGGCAGAACATGGTGGTGAAATTGCTCACTTGCTGCCAGCAACAATTAAATAGTAAAAATGGAACCTTGCCTCCTGGCAGATTAACCAGCTGCAAGCCTACCCCACCATGTCCCCAGTTACTTTCAACCACTACTTTGCACTCATCATGTGGCAATGAGTTCTGCAGGTATACATTTTGTTATCGTGAGTGGTACTCTCTCTCTATTTCAATAGACAACACTGCTTTTAAAAAAAGTATTCCATACTCCAAGTCAAAATATCATCACGAAGCCGGAACAGTTTGGTTTCAGACCACACTCACCTTCATGGGTGCAGAAAGCTTGCTTGGGTCATCCAGCTGGAAGCCTGTGAGGATGGTCACCATCCCACTGGAGTCATCTTCGCTGCCCCCTTGAGAGGTTGTCAGCTGTTTGCAGCTATCCAGTATCTTATAGAGGTTCCTGTTATATTAGTATTGAGGCAAAAGAGAGAAAACAGTGCCACCATTTGGCTTAGTATAAACAGCTCTCTGCTTGTGAATGCAGCTTTGCTTAAAATTTGAGGCAGGTTGAAGCAAATGCTTACCAAGCATCTAGATCTTGCCTCTTCAGTTTATGCCTCTCAAAGCTTTTCCCAACTTCTTTCTGGCAGCGGATGTACCTAGAGACAGAAGATCACACATTGGGTGGATGTGTGCGTGAGTGCAATGCTGATCAGGCTACTTCTGCAGCACAGCTGAAATTGCAAAGTAATTTGCAGTACATTTATGCATATTTATCCCAATAACCCTGCTAAGCAGTGTCCGTGTTTTGCAGGTGAGAGAAGCCAGTTGTTAAAGGAAGATTTGCTCAATGACCAATATCAAGCCGAGAGAGAATCTGAACCCAGCTCTTCCCAAAAGCTTCATCAAAGTTAAAAGGCTCCACCTGGCAGTGGTGGCCCTACAGTTGTGGGGTCCCTCCTTGGAGAACTCTGCTCAAATCCCTTGCTTGAGACCCTACAATATTTTACTGCAATTTTATCAGAAGCTGCTTTTTACTGTATGGTGTTTATTCCACTGTTGTACTGCATTTAAGTTTTATGGTAAGCTGACTTATAAAGACTTGACCTAAAAGGTGGAGCAGAAATCAAAAGAAACAAAATACAGTGGTACCTTGGTTTACAACCATAATCTGTTCTGGAGGTCTGTTTGTAAACCAAAACAGGTTGTAACCCACGGCACGCTTTCGCCAATGGGGCCTCCCAAAAAAATTTGTTCGTAATCCAAAAAAAGTTTGCAAACCAGGACACGCACTTCCAGGTTTGACGTGTTTGTAATCCAAAACATATGCAAACCAGACTGTTTGCAAACCAAGGTACTACTGTAAATATTTTTTATTATTAAAAACATCAAATGCCTGCACACCTATACTGGGAAAGGGATGGAGGTGCAATGTTCACATTTTTATTGCAAACAGGTATTCACATTCAAGGGCAGGACCCAAACAGCTGTTTTACATATGAGAACTGCAGCCTGATCAGGGTGTATATGTAAAATATAACCTAACGACCCATCCCAAGAGAGGCTGCTTCTTAAACACGGTTCTTTTATTACCTGTTCCTGTGCACAATGAAAATGAATACTGTTGACCAGGGGACTCAGCCTACCTGTTTCCCTTTTTAAATTCTGCCTCTAGATATCGGATGCTGTCACGAGCTCCCGCATTCTCTTTCTTCAGGAAGTCTAAGCCATCAATTACTAAGCATCAAAGAAAAACAAGGTGGTTACATCTTCTGCTTCCCTTAAGGCAGCGGTTCCCAACTTTTCTGGTCACTGCCCCCTTGGTTCCACAAGCTCATCCCCTGTGCCCACTACCCTATAAAAAGCATTGTCCAGAACAGCGGTTTGCACAACCCGCTAAGAAACACACAGTAAATAGTTAACAACCACACATTTATTAAAGCTCCAATTTAAACTGGTTAGTTTAATTGTCAACAAAGTAGATGAGCCTGCACTGGTTATACAGCTGCCCAACTGCCTCTTAGCACTGCCCCCCCCCAGGTAACCCCACTGCTCGGCTCGCTCACCCCCCCCCAGGGCAATCAACCCTTTCACTACCTGGCAACAGCAATTGTCCTGCTCAGGATACCAGCCCTGTGGTGGGAGGGGCCACTTACCTGTCCGTGGGATGATCACAATAAACCTTCCACTGGCAGCCAGCTGCCTGATGGTGCAGAGGTGCTGGCAGAGAGCCTGGGTGTCGGGGACCAGGTAGGGGGACATCACACACTGTGCTTTGGGCTGCTGGAGGCTCCCTTCCAGCTGCGACACCTCCAGCTGGGGAAAGAGAGAAGGAAGCTAGAGCCTTTAGGGAAGAAGCTCTGAGCAAGAGCACCAAATTCGTTAAGGAGTGTTCTCAGTGGCCCACCCTGTGTTGTCAGATGACCAGCCCATCCAGCAGAGTACAAGAAGTTTTATGTAGCAGGGTGCAGGTTCAACCCCACACAACTCCAGGTAGCGAAGCTGGGAAAAAGACTCTTCTCTGCTAGAGACTCTGAAAAGGACAAGACCATACTGGGATTTGTATGGTTTGACTCAGTTCGTGGCAAGATTTCACAGAACTGGCTTCAGCAAGAATCCAGAGTCTCAGGCAGGAAATCTTTCTCAAAACGAACTGCTCAAGATCATCTTTTAACAGGATAAATCAGGGACCGAACGATGCGTATAAAGCATATGCTCTGGCCTTTCCTCTCCCTGCATGGTTGTGTAGGTCACTGTATTTTTTAGTTATTTCATAAAATGTATTCACTGTTTGATATTTTTTTTAAATTACCCTTCAGAGTAGTTTACCAAAAATTATCAATAGCAAAAATTGACAATAGTTTAAATACTTTTGAAAAGTTAAAACAGACTAAAAGCAGATTAAAACTCGCACCATCTTTTTAAACCACTTGGTAGACTTGGCTTTTAGCCGGCGCAAAAAAGAGTACAATGCCTGCTGTCAATAGGCAGGGAGTTCCTAAGTGTGGGTGAGGCCACACTGCAACCCTGAGTTCTTACAAACAGGGAATGGGTATTATGAACCAGTTCCACCAATCATGAAGACTCGCTGTTATTGGTACCCCAGGTTCTGACCAACAGAGCTGATAGGCCTGACCAGTTTACAGCGCAGGATGGGAACCTTACCTGCTGGCTTTGTCCTCATTCAGTCAAGTGCTTTAATTGCAAGCTATGTCAGGCGCAAGCACAAGCGATACAGCCTCCCCCACCCCCACCCCAGGTATTTGGAGGCCTCCACTGACTCGCACTTGCCTCCCCCATCTATGCACAGTCCATCATCATACCTGCAGCCGAAGCTGAGCCATGTCTCTCATGAGCCTGTTCCGGCGAGCTTCCTCAGCGGCCTAAGGGAGAGCAAAGGGAATGATGCACGTCAAACTGCCTTTGCACCTATGGTCCCATTCCACAACTCTGGAATGGTTCCTCCACTTCCTTTCGCTATCCATGGGTGGTGAGATGGTTAGAGGGTGTTGGAACTATGACCTGGGTTCAGATTCCCACTCAGCCATGGAGCTTACTGAGTGGTCTTGGACCAGTCACTACCTCTCAGCCTACCCTACCTCACAGGGATCGTTTTGAGGATAAAATGGGGAGCAGGGGAAGAACTATGTACAGCCCCTTGAGCTCCTTGGAGGAGGTGGTGGAATATAAATATAAGAAATAAATCTACTGTAAGGTCACAAAGGCCTAAATATGCAATACAATATAAACAGTGTAAAATTGCATGCTCTGAATACTCTCCCCATCCCCTAGTTGAAATGTAGTCTGCAAACAGTCTAAAGGACCCTTCTTTTTGCTGATAGCCACAGAAATAACACTGTAAAGTATTTTTACACTTTCCCTAGATATATTTTTTTATGGGCAAAGAAAGTGCTAAGTTGAGGACTAGAAATTTGGCTACTACAAGTCTTTTCTCAGCCACTCACTTCCACATCACCCCTGAAACTTCCATCAGATGCTTCCCATGCATTTTCTGATATTTTCTCAGGCTTCACCGGTGACATAAACTCACAAATGGAAGAGAAGAGCTGTGCAATGCACAGGCATGTGACAAGACAGGGAATGCAAGAGGAGGTCCCTGTATGGCTATCAAGCCTTGCTCTTCACTGGAGCATGTTTGTTCTATCCCACTACTCCCCTCCAGCCCACCCTGGAAAAGCTCACCATGCGGAACTGGGCCTGGGCCTGCTGGAGCAAGCCGTCCTGCTCCGACTGAGCGATGCTGATGAAGATCCCAACCTCCGGGTTGAACTGCAGGATGCTGCCTTGCAGGTGGGTGATGAAGTGTCCGAAACTCCGGATGCAACAGATGCGAACCACGGACTGTAATGAAGAAAGAGGAGGAGGACCTGGTGGGTGGGGAGGGCAGGGAGCGCGTCCACTTGAGGCCGAGATGGGGGCTCACACACACTAAAGCAAAGCAAAAGCTCCCCTCCTGAACACCTGAAAGGCTACAGGAACAGCTGGGACTTGGGAGGGCAAAGGATGGGCCAAGCTGGCTGAGCTCTTGATGCAAAGGGTCAAAGGGAATGTTCAGCCCTGCTCCCTGCAAAGAGCTCCTAGGCCAGAAGGATCAAACCCCACCCAGCGACACCAGCTGACTGACAGGTGGGCGTGGTTTGGGAAAATAGCCTCGCACACCAAACTGGGCTCCTTTGGTGGGACAGGACTGGCCTGCGAGCTAGAAGTTCCCCACCCCTGAAGTTCTGGAGCAAAGGTTCTACTTGCCCTCAAGCCCCTTGCTTCCCCCCAGTCCAGAAGCCTCCCAAAAACCAGCCTCTTACCTCCTCCACTTCTGCGAGGAGAGGCCTGTCCTGCTCGAAGTTGAACCTCTTGTGCGCGTTCTTCAGCGGGGGAAGGTTGCGGAGGGCCATGTCCTCTGGGAGCAGCAGGCAAGCAGGCAAGTCTGGCAGCTCACACCCAGGCAGCATGCTCTTCACCTCGTTGCAGAGGAACAGCCCTGCGCATCAGCAGTGGGGAGGGGAGGGGACAGAACGACAGCTTTATATTTCTGGGTCACAGAGGCAGAAGGAGCAACTAGAAAGTCACACGAAATGCTAGTCCTCAAGGGCACGTCTAGTCTAAAACTGGGACTTCCACAACTCCTCGTGGTGCCAGCTCTGACTCTGCCACACACGGGAGTCGGCCCCGCAGGAAGCCCAAAGGGGGAAGATGCTCCTGGCTTGGGATGCTTGTGTCTCCTTCGAAGAACAGGGTTGTAGCTCAGTGGAAGACCAAATGCTCTGAAAGAAGGTTCCCCAGATCGACCCCCAGCATCTCCCCCAGGTAGGGATGGGAAACAAACACACACAGAGAGGCTGTTGCCAGATCAAGGTAGACGGCACTAGGCTAGATGAGTAACTTGACTCTGTGTAAAGTGGCTCATTACATTTCCATATCATGACCAGCTCTGACAGTAAGCGCTATTCAACAGTGGAATGGACAACCTTGGAAGCTGGTGGACTCTCCATCATTGAAGGTTTTTGAACAGAGGCTGGGGGTGGGGGCATCTTCCAGGGACTCTGCACCTGCTATCTGTGCATTGAAGGACATTGGGTTAAATACCCCTTGAGATCCCTTCCAACTCAACGATTCTGATTCTTTTCATGAGGCGTACAGAAGACATCAGCAGGAGCTTCCCTCTCTGAATCCAGACAAGCCACCATCAGGTAAGAAAGTGTGGCCTTGAAGGTGGAACTGGCGGAGCTGCTCCCACAGAAAGGGGCTTGGTGCTTACTCCATTGCTTGGTAGACTTCTCATGTTCATCTGGAACTAAGCAATGGAATTCCAGAAGAACCTACCAAGTCTACCAAGCTCAGGTATTGTCTACGCAGATTGGGACAGTAGGTCTCCAAGGGCTTCCAGCAAGGGACATTCCCTGGTTCACCAAGAGATGGTGGAGACTGCAAACTGAAGGTTCCAGGTTCAAAGAAGTCGCTTTGTGTGACTAGACTTCCCACCATCTCTCCCCATTTAAAAACAGCAGAAAAACTAGGTGTAAAGCAGGAAAAAGACCCAGGAAACTAGCAAGAGTGTCTGAACTGTACAGGAAGTTGAAGTTCGAGTGTCAGGGGTGGGGTGGGGGGACATAAGAAAAGGAAATTTCTTCTAAAAGTTACCTGAGTCCTGAAGGTCTCCAGCTGAAGGAAGCAGGTTCAGAAGGACAGAAAGTCTGTTCCATAAACTCTGAGAACTCTGGAGGAGGGAAAAAGCACCACAAACAAATGCAAGTTGAGCATGTGGTGAATATTAGGACTTGGGCCGGAGATCCAGGTTCAAGCCCTTGCTCAGACTGGCCATCTGCTACCACCTCCCAGCCTAACCTACCACACAAAGTCAGCACCGGGATAAAATGGAATGCCCGTTTTACTACAGCTGAGAACAGGGGGCCCATGAAGGTCTGCCTTCAAAATAAAGTGCAAGAGGGTGTGTGTGTGTGTGTGTGTGTGTGGATTTAAGGTAGCAATGGGGCAAGAATAGGGCACTGAAACACTCAACCTCTCCCACCCACAGTCCCCTTCTCCCCCAGCTTGGCTTTGACTGTGGAATAGAGCTCAGCTGGGAGAAAATTACCTGGGAGGGAAGGGTTCACAGCTCCCCTTGCTACTTTAAATCCCAAGGATTACATGAAGTGTGTATTTGAAGACATGTGTCTGTCACCCTCACATTAGTTTGAGGTCTACTTGAAACCCCATCCTTTTCCCTACGATATATCTGATATTTGTCAGAACTGTGGGTCATTTACACCTCCAGAGCCCCTCCCCCCCGGTAATCCCACGACCCCACCAGGGATGGTACCACCCACTTTGGGACCCACTGCTTTTATCAGTTACTTCTACTTTTAGCAGTTAATGGCAAACTGCTTTATACAGGCTGGCAACTGCAGTGGTTGAGTGCACGAGATAGAAGCTCATTCAGCAGCCCAGAGGTGTAAGCTGAAGAAGTCCTGTAAGTGGGATTCTCCCCCATTACCCCTCCCTACCTGTGCACACATGATGATGAGATCAGTGTTGGTTCTCAGCCAGTCCAGAAATACTTTGACAGTCGGCAGCAACCCCTCGTTGGTGATGATCTCCAGCTTCTCCTGGAGAGAACGCTCGTTCCTGCAGGATTTACTGCTAGAGACGCTCTCTTCCGACTCAGAAACATCATCTTGGACAAGACAAACGGATCGTTAAAAACAAGGAACTTAGATAATTAAACAAGGAGCGCAGATTGGGAAATGCAATTCCCCTCCAGAGGAGAGACACCCACCTATCCTGCCAAGTGCTTTTTATCTGGCCTCTGGGAATCAAGAGGTTTTATCAAGTTTTAATCTAGAGGTGATTAAAAGCAGTAGCTGGCACCTTCACAGAAAAGAAAACCACTCCCTACGAGTAGGGATGGTGGTGGTGGAGATTTAGTGCACAATTTAGTACACCACCCTGCCTCAACTTCCTTTCTGCCACGCTTCTGCCCCCATCTGCAGTATAAATTTAAAGCAGCACCATACCACTTTAAAGAGTCATGGCTTCCCCCAAAGAATCTTGGAAAATGAGGTTTGTTAAAGGTGCTGAGAGTTGTTAAAGGTAAAGGTACCCCTGCCCGTACGGGCCAGTCTTGACAGACTCTAGGGTTGTGTGCCCATCTCACTCAAGAGGCCAGGGGCCAGCGCTGTCCGGAGACACTTCCAGGTCACGTGGCCAGCGTGACAAAGCTGCATCTGGCAAGCCAGCGCAGCACACGGAAACGCCGTTTACCTTCCCGCCAGTAAGCGGTCCCTATTTATCTACTTGCACCCGGGGGTGCTTTCGAACTGCTAGGTTGGCAGGCGCTGGGACCGAGCAACGGGGGCGCACCCCGCTGTGGTGATTCAAACCGCCGACCTTTCGATTGGCAAGCCCTAAGCACTGAGGCTTTTACCCACAGCGCCACCCGCGTCCCACGCTGAGAGTTGTTAGGAGACCCCTATTCTCTTCACAAAGTTACAAGTCCCAGAGCGGTTTAACAACCAATCCTTTTCCCCCAGGGAACTCTGGGAATTGCAGCTCTGGGACCTCTAATTAACTCTTAGCACCCTTAACATATTACACTTCTGAGGATTCTTAGGAGGAATAAGCCATGACTGAGATAGGCTGCTGCTCTGACTGTATAGTGCAGATGGGGATATAATGTCAAAGGTTAGAAGACAGGTTTGTCACCCCACTTTAAGACAGCAATGTTTTGGGGGCACGTGGCTATTGCTGGCCTGGAAACGGTTATCAAAGGAGTTCTCATCTTGCCCCCTTCCCCACTTACACCTCTAGGTTGGCAACCGGGATCTGTGTCAGCCAGATCTTGCCCACAAATCACCCTCTACAAAATCCTAAGGTCTTTCCACACCACTTCTGCTCACACACCCTTTTCTCCATTCATGGAAGGGATCTCCTTTCCAATCTAGCGTGCATGCTCTCTCTCTCTCTCTCACCTTGCTCAGTCATTTTGGACTTCTCCACGTCCCCATTGACACATGGCTTGCTGTCCGCCACCTCTTTCGGGGCAGGCAGCTCACAGTTTGGTTTGAGGAGGACGTTGCTGAAAGTGGGGGCCAGTCGGAAGCAGCGCTTGGTCTGGAAGAGCTGCGTGGACATGGCCTGGAGGTTGCTGGCTATACTGGCATCACTGGCGCCCAGCAAGCCTGGCCCGTTGGCCACAGGAGGCTCCAGCAGGGGCTCAGTCTTGGCAACGCCAGGGCTTTTCAAGTCCACCAGCCTGCCAACATCCCCTTCCGCAGAATCCAAAGCCTCCGGGGCGCCGTTCTTCATGCCCTTGGCTTGGCTGCCCCCCTCGGCGTCTGGCTCGTCCTCCATGTCTTCCAGGTCTGAGCGTGACTCCTGGCTGTTCATGTCCGAGTCGGTCTCCACGTCAAAAGCCGCCTCGGCCTCCTCGTCGCTCTTCTCTGAGCCGCTCTCTGAGCCGTCACTCCCTTTGGTGGAATCCGGGCTGGAGTCGGAGTCGAAGCCCTCGCTCAGGTCGCTCTCGTCCACCTTCTGGACATGGCGGCGACGGCGCAGGCAGGAGAGGCGCGAGTATTTCTTGCCCTTCTTGCTCTCGCTCTTCCGCTGCTCCTCGCTGGGTCGGTGGTTGGCCAGGTCCCCTTCGGCTTCTCTCTCAATGGAGTTCAAGGATTCCCGGGCCTCCAGATCCTCTGCAAAAGAGCAGCCGAACACACATTTTTGGAAACTCTAATGACCGGCTTGACTACTGTTTTGTTGCAACACCTGCCACAAAGACTTTATATCAGTGGTTCCTGAAGTTGGCACCTTGGGGGGGGGTTGGGATTACCTGGGGGGGCGCAAAGGGGCAAGAGATGGAAGGGGGTGCTGGAGGTGTGAATGACTGTGTCAGATTTTTGGAAAGCTGGTCTCACTGGATCAAGTTCATAAATTTTGTTGAATTAATTAAACTAAATAGTTTTAACTGAATTTTTAATTACTGTGCAATTCATTGTTGCTGTTCATAGTTTTACAGTGGTACCTTGGTTGTCAAACGGATTGGCTCCCAAACAAATCGGCTCCCAAACGCCGCAAACTTGGAAGTGAGTGCTCTGGTTTGCAAACGTTTTTTGCAAGCTGAACGTCTGACACAGCTTCCACGGCTTCCGACTGAGTGCAGGAAGCTCCTGCAGCCAATTGGAAGCCGTGCCTTGGTTTTCGAACGGTTCTGGAAGTCGAACAGATTCCCAGAACGGATTAAGTTTGACAACCAAGGTACCACAGTATTGTGTTATTATCTTCATCCAGTGAAGCTGAATGGTGGGAGAGTCATAACAGGCAAAAGGAAAGACTTCTGCACACAGAACGTAAGTTAAACTAAGGTATTGACCCCCAACTTGGATGGCTTTAAAAGGGGTTTGGAAAGGCTATCACTGGCTTCGATTACTATCTTCTGTTGGGGTTGGGTCCTGTCTCCCTGCTTCCTATAGGTATTTGGCTGGCCACTCTGTAAACAAGGTGCTGAGCCAGACAGGCCTTTGGTCTGATTCAGCAGGGCTATTTTCAAGTTCTTACAGACTCTCCCCAAAGAACTTCCCAGGATCCCCTGGGAAAAGTAAATAACTGTTAACCAGATTATTTTCACCACTGCCTGCCTCGTCACAAGAGCAGAACGCAGTGTGGAAGATGGAAGGCAAGGATCTTAGAATGGGCAAACTTAACCCTTCTTGCAGCCCTCACCTGTGCCATCATTCCGAAAGGCTGGAACTGGATTCTCGCCTTCTTCCAGCTCTGCTTGCAGGCGAATATTGACGTGGTTGATGAGGTGCGAAAAGAGGGCCAGTGTGAATGCAATGGCTGCACTATACTGCTTGGAGCCTGTAAGGAGAGAGATGAGGAAGCATCAGCGTCAAGGGGAGCTGGCAACTGAATGGGAAAAACAGTGCCTGCAACGTCCGTGGGGGAGCAAACTCCATAATTATGCATTTAACTTTATTCAACTGCAGGCACCCAAATGCCTTTGAGCTTCTTTATGTGATCAGAGTTAAAATTCTTGTCAACTCACTGTTATTCAGAGATTTAAAAAGCCTTTCTGCAACAAAACTAAGAACTCCATTCAGCCACTTGCATATATCATGTGCCCCCTTCCACAGGAGGGTCCGGAGGGTGGCAACTTGAGATCAGGACTTTTCAGTGTTGGCTCCCTGTTTGTGAAATGCTCTCCCTGGGAAGGCTCACTTGGTGTCATCATTACACAGGCTTCAGTCGCCAGGCAAAAACAATCCTTTTAAACCAGGCCTTTGGCTTTGAACTATCTATGGCCTTTTAGAGCAAGTGGGATGTTTTAATATATTATCCCATCCTAGTTGCTTCAAATTGCCATGGCAAAAAGGCAACTAACAAATTTAATAAATGCTAATGCTAATGATGATATGCTAAATATCGAAGACTCTTTTGAGTCTATGAACTCTATGATTCCATGAAAATACAAATTTAAAGTGAAATGAAATGAAAATGCTTCGATCCCAGATTTACACTGTGAGCACCTGAGCGTGAGCCCAGCAGTCAATGACTGTGTTTTATGAAGTGGATGATGAACCACCTCATCTTTGCTGCTGTTCTGGAAACAGGAAGAGTTTGAGAGATGCTAGCTCAGTTCAACCAATCATATTATAATGAGAGGCCGACAGGGCAGCTTAAAACCTGCACACCAAGTCTGCAAGAGGAGGACACACCACACACAGCCACGCTGCTCACCTGCCCTCTTGAGGCTGTGGACGCTCATCAGACAGACAATGACCATCCGGAAGATGAGGAGGTCTGGCAGGAAGGAGTAGCCATTCTCGCACTCCTCTTCGTCGTCATTGGCAGAGCTCGTGTTGGGCGAAGAGGGCAAGTAGAAGAGGCAGAGGTTGAAATCCTCCAGTACTGACTGGCAGAGAGACGTCAGCTCAGAGTCTGCAGAACTGAGAGGTGGGTGACAAGGAGAGATGAGCCACAGAGGATTGTCCCACAGCAAACAGGAGGTGCAAGCAGTTGAAACAGGTCAAGCCTCTCCAAACCCTAGGCAACCACAGTGGTTATACAACCCCCTTAATGAGTTATCTAGAGTCCTCATCTGTAGAGGCTGAGCCAACGAGGGGTAACTAGACCCCCTGATACTTGATCTGAGGGCACATTCTCCCCAAGGTGCTTTAGACTTACCCGACAAATTAGGAACTTAAGAAGCTGCCTTATATGAAGTTGGACCACTGGTCAATCTAGTTCACTATTGTCTACACTGACCAGCAGTGGCTCTCCAGGGTTTCAGGCAGAAAGCCTTTTCCAACCCTACTTGGGATTGAACCCAGGACCTTTGGCATGCAAAGCAGATGCTCTACTGCTGAGCTATGGCCCTTCTCAAGGGTGATGCATCCTCCCTAGTGGTGGGAGACTCTCAACCGGTGAAAAGGCAATGCTGTCAATCCATGACAAAAATGCAGAAGAGTGTTGGAGCAAGGAATTCTCCTTCCCCTCATGGGAAGTTATTCCAATGCCCTTGAGATTGTTTGGACCAGTATATTATCCCAATGTAAAAGTGATTTGCTTCAGCTACATAATCTATCAGGAGTTTACAAAACAGCACAGTAAGAATAAAGAGGCAGAAGACTCACCTGCTCTTTGGCTGAAGGAGGCTCTGCAAGTACATGAAACTCACCAGTAACCTCTTAATGTCTTTGCACCTGCGGGGGGGGGGGGGGTGGGGGTGGAGTTGGGAGAGGGAAAGAGAGGAGGAAGGGCACAATTATCCCAAGGAGGTAGTCAAGGAAGATTTTTCTGTGGTTTCAGATAAGGCCTTAGTACCCAACAGCTCTAGCTCCACCCCCAAGACTACTATAAGCAAAGTAAGTTCACCAAAGGAGAAGGCATTTCTGCAAAATGGGGAACTGTGGCAAATCTACTCAATCTACTTATTTTCTAGAGATTGCAGAGTTCACTTTGCTCGGCACAGAATCTGGACTGTTCCTTCTCTTTCTCGTCATTTGGTCATTTTCACCCCTTGTAATATAATGCTTTCTTAAGACTCTGAAGAAGTCCTATAGCTATGCAGCTAGCACCACAAAGGCAAAGGAAATTTCAGGCACAGCCAATATTAGTATGTGGCAGGCACATTCTCCAATTTGGAATAGGAGGGAGGAGAATCCAAACAGCAGCAGCTTTGGCAAAGGACCACTTCACTCACCAAAGTGCACTGGAGCCTCAACTGAAGAGCAGTCAGGAAAGACAAGTTGTGAGAGTCCTAATGCTGAATAAGCCTCAATTGCACAAAGCTACAGTTTTCCATCTCTCATAACCACTCAGTTACCACATTCTTAATACTGAGAAAACCCATCGCTAAAATTTAGTAGGGCCAGACTTGGACCGGCCAAGGTGTTGCATATAAACCTCAGCTCAGGCTGGCCTTGAACCAGACATTTCTCTCTGCATCACTTTCCCCATCCATGAAATAGGCTGTTATGGTAAACAAGACGGCAGTAACACACCTTTGCACACCCAAACAGCCTGCTCTGCCTCATCCACTTGCATTTCAATTCTCACATGCAGCACCACACAAATGGTGTGTCCCTCCTTCCCTTCCCCCTTAAGGCTCAAATTGCAGGTGTTAACTCCAGATGACTATTAGGAAACCATCACAATCCATCGAAACCAATAAATTTTTGGGGGTGGTGGTGGTTTACATGTGCTCATTGACATGTCATCCCGCTGGGGTCAGTCACAGGTGTTTCTCTATGGAATTAGGTAATGTTCACAGAGGCTGGATAACACTCTACGTCTGGACATGTCTACCAGAACACTGGACAGATTTTGAGATTTGCTCACTGCAGGACTGAACCACATTACGTCCTTACCTCTTTTTGCTGGGTGACAGTTTCCTGGTTTCACATTTCTTCAGCTGGTGATACATTTTGGCCGCCTTATCATACAGGCGTTTGAGATTCCCATAAGCACCTTCAAAGGACACTTCAGACTGGATACTAAACAGGCACAAAACCCCAAAAGCAGAAATGTTAAATTCTCAGTCAAACCCCAAACAAGCAGCAGGTTACACTTGACAAGGTCAAAAGTGCAGAATTTTGCCACCTGTAGAATTTATTGAAATCAAGCAAGTTTGCACCTCTTTGGCTTGTTTCACTTAACTAGTTTTACACTTGTGAGACTTTGAGCAAAGCTCTGCAAGGCCTTTGGCTGCATCCAGATGTCATATTTTGTTAAGAATGGCATTTCCTTCCTCCTGGCATCAAAGCAGAAGTTCAGAAACTTTCACTTCTGGTTTCAGTTAAACAGTTTAGCATTGTATTCAATGCCTAAACTGTGGCTAATCATAACCATGGCTTGCTAGCACAAACCAGAGTTTTAAGCTGGTTTGTTTCAAACAAACCATAATTAATAATAGTTTGCCAAGTTCAGGCAATATGACTAGCTGCACTGAATTGAAAACAGAAGCTTCAAAATTCCTATTTGTGGCTGTGCCAGAAATGGGAGAAGGTGCAATCCCTGTGAGGTCAGACTCCTTACCTTCACAATAAACCCAAGGTACAGCACCCCCCATCAACCACTAGAAATCTCATTCAGTGTCCCCTCTGGTTTCAGTCACTTCGTCAAGCATCACTCACACACCCAAGCATGCAGGCTGATTCACACTATTCCAGAGCAAGAACCCCATGTTTGCCACTCAGCTAATCCTCTCTCATTAATGTGCCTGTTTATTTGACAAAATTACCAACACCTCTCTCTCACACACAGCTTTTGGGTATGTATCTAAAATGTAACATGAGAGAGGCAGAGTCGCTCATGTTTTTAAGTCACAGAGCTCCACATACCCATCAACTAGGATAACTTTCCCACCCTGTCTAGCATAGTCACCCTCCTCCACAGAGTTCTGAAAGAAAAGCGTGGGATTCCCTACTTTGTATTGTCAGAAACAGGACTCTCTCCAATGACACAAATTAAGAGAGCAAATGTGATATAGTGGTTAGCGTGTCAGACTAGGCCCGAAGAGACAAGGGTTCAAATCCCCACTCAGCCATGAAGCTCACTGGGTGACCTGGGGCTAGTCACTCACTCTCAGCCTAACCTACCTCATAGCGTTGTGAGGATAAATTGGGGTGGGGGTGGGAGGAGAACTATGTACGCCACCTTGAGCTGATTGAACAAAATGTGGGCTATAAATGTAATAAATAAATAAACAAATGATAGAATGCCTTGCCTCTTCACTGAAGCTCCTGTGCATGCCACAGGGTTCAGAGTATGAATGAGGTCTTCCCACCTTTTCAGGAAGGTGTTTAGTAACAGCTTGAGAGGGGAAGAGGAAAAGCCACCAGAAACTGTTACAATTTTGCTTTTAAAAGGTCTAGGAGGGAAGGGATATTATGCTTCTGAGCAAGCCTACAAGCTCCAACATCTGCGGAGTGGAAAGACTCGATCAACCAGCACATTTCCAAAACAAAAAATGAACCCCATTTGTACAATATTGGAACCAACTTAGATCTGGAGAGGTGACAGCACTAGACATACTAGCAACGATGGAATCTTCTGAGTTGGCAGGCCTCTTTGGGGAGACGTACTCATCTCTCACTTGAAGTTTACAATGTATTTTAAAAATAATTAAAGCAGAAATTCTGTGGAATTTGGTGCCTAAAACCGACTTGCAAGCTACACAGCACCCCGCTCACAAGTTCCTGGGATTGATTTATTTTTAGCTGCTTTTCAAGGACTGACAGCCCAAGGGCACAGGCTGCGCACACACTTGTAACAGAGCAACCAGCATCCAGGCAGTCAGGTTAGGCAGCTATGGGAACCACATTCCAGCTATGCACAGAGCAAGAAAGTCAACAGGCGATACACTGCACAGTGAAAAGTCCTCTCTGCCCCAAAGCAACAGGTGGACTCGCTCTCCTTGGGAGGCACACTCACCAGCGCAGGTAGCAGTAGGTGGCTTCCACGTTGTAGTAGTTGCTCCCCGCCAGTGTCCCCAGCTGGTTAAAAGGCATACCTGTCCCAAAAAGGCAGAAGTGAGTCAGCTCCACATGTGCTTGTCCAAATCTCCCAACAACAGCCAAAAACCCTGGAGTCTAGAATCCCACCTAGGATCTGCGGCTGTACCTGACCAAGTCATATTCAGAACAGTCCCAGTGAAATCAGTGGGCATGATCACCTTAACCCAATGATTTCAATGGGTCTACTCATACACTCGTGGGGTGTTTGTTTTTGTTTGTTACTATGGTATGCAATTTTCTGCTTTTATATTGTAAACTGCCCTGTGATCCTCAGATGAAGGGCAGCATAGAAATTTCATACATTCCACTGATTCATACAACCCATGGCCTTTTTGCAAGTACAAGGGCTGCTCTTCCTTACTTTGCAGGAACTAAGAGGTAAGAGACTGCATAAGAGATTGTGTTAGAGCCCATAAGGGACCAGAGGAGATGGGCTCCTTCCAGACAGGCATATCCAGTCATTTCCACCATTTGAGCAGCTGGAAGGAGGAACTTAAGAGGAACCCAGAAGGGACAGGAAGTGGGGGCTTGATAAATGATCCTGCAAAGCATGAATCCCTCAGCCCCCTTCCCTTTATGGCCAGGCTGTGTCTAAAGCCCTGGAAGCAGCCAAAACAGCTTTCAAAACATCTGTGCTGCCTGGTCCTACAGCTGTCATCAAGATTTTACAGGCCAGATCCACACAGGCTGAGCTTCCACAGACCCAAGAACATCGTTTGAACTGTGGAACTGTTTTTTATTGGACACAGGAAGTTGCTTTGTGGAAATAGTTCTTCAAAAAGCGAGGGACACATTTTTAAATACATAAAAATTGGCTGATGGACTGGCAATGTTGGCTCTGTCAATTAAGCGACTCCTTGCTGTGCTGGCTGAGAGACAGAGGAAAGGGGTTCTCCACCACCTTCCTGTCCAGAGTAACCAGGAAGACAAAATAGCTGCAACAGTGGGAAAGGTTACTGCCAACACCACCACAGCCCTCTGAATCCAGGGAGAGAAGTCATGGTGGCACATAGTGATGCTGTCGTTTTCCCACATCCATGGTTGACAGGCTGGGTGGGCCCAGCGATGCTTCCACAAAACATGTAGGAAAAGTCCTGAAGCTGTTGAGTACTGGGGATTTCTCTCAGCAGACAACACACAGGAAGGACAGTGTGCATGTACGTGATACACCCACTTTGCTTTCAGCTTGGGAGATAACCATCACAGGCCCAATTTAGCTCAGATCTGTCAAAGAATCCCTTGCTCCATTGCCTCCAACAAGAGCCAAGAGCAGCCCGAAGCAGGGCAGTAGTTTACAAATACTGACCATCTTAATTGTGAGCAGGCTGGCAAACATTCCAATGGGCTAGTAACTTGAAGACAAAATTGCCTGGTAGACAAATCTGGGGGAAGGATCATAAGACATGGACTAAACACTTACCAATTTGTGGTGCAACAGAAAGGGCTTGATAGTAAAATCTCTCGGCCAGCAATTCTGTGTCCACACCTGCTAATTCGTTCTGATACCGAGCTGATGAGAAAGAAGCACACACAAGAGACTTGTGGATTGCAGTAAGAAAAGGTGTAGAATTGCAGCACAATGCTACAAAACCATCTGGGAGGCCTTATGGGCAAGTGAAATAGTGAGGCTTTACTCAATAAATGGAACAAATTCACATCTCTGGGCAGTTGGAAAGTTTAAATAACTTTTCACAATCCTCTTGAAGTTACCAAAGTCCAATGCAATATCTAGAAACACAACATAAATGCCTCCAACTCTACAGTGGTACCTCGGGTTAAGTACTTAATTCGTTCCGGAGGTCTGTACTTAACCCGAAACTGTTCTTAACCTGAAGCACCACTTTAGCTAATGGGGCCTCCTGCTGCTGCCGCGCCGCCGAAGCACAATTTCTGTTCTCATCCTGAAGCAAAGTTCTTAACCTGAGGTACTATTTCTGGGTTAGCAGACTCTGTAACCTGAAGGGTATGTAACCTGAAGCGTATGTAACCCGAGGTACCACTGTACTAGGATAACTCTAGTTCCCAAACCCCAGAACTTTTTTGGGAGGGGAATCCTGGAAGAGTCTTAAGCTCAGGTTAAGGAAAAAACCCAAAAGGAGGAAGCCCAACAAGCATGGAATATCATTAACACATCCTTGTCATCTACACAGAGGTCACATAGGGAATTATTAAAGGGGCTTTTGATGAGACAGTCCGAAGCCATTTAGGGCTTTGCTAGTCGGTAATGAATGGAGTCTGTTTCCGCTTTGCAATGTAAGAAAACTGTGGATTCACTGGGCCAGAGCAGCAGCCCAACTTCCACTATTAGCACTCACCTAAATCCCCCAGGTAAACCAGACACCGGTGGCAGGCCATCTGCGCCCATTCCATCTCCTTCTCCGATGCAGATACAGGCTTCTTGCAGCCTATGGAAGACACAAGGAATAGGGTAACCTGGGATGAGCACTGCTCAAGAACAAGGCAGCTGGGGCTCTAAACCGATGGTGGAGAGTCTGCCCACACCAGAACCATCATGCTTGCCTTTGCTCATATGGCTCGGCTTGTTCCACAAATAGACCACACAAACTGCAGATTGTGATCTCCTGAAAGCCTCTGCTTTTATTTTTGGAAAAGTAAAAAGCTTGAACAGCCTCAGGGGGGCAGAGATGACCTCATGTGGCCAAGGGGGTGGGGTTTCAGTTCTATGCTGTCCACCACCCGGCTCCAATAGCCATGACAGCAAAACAGCCTTCGGCAACCTGCTGTGCACCAGATGTCTTAGTTCCACTGGCTGGAGCCAGCTGAGTTTGTAATTCAGAACATCTGGGGGACACCAGGTTGGCAAAGGCTGGAGAACAACATGCAATACAAAAAGGTCCCCTTAATTTCTGTACTAGAGTACTGTAAGAAATGTTTGGAACAAAAACGACATCCATACATACTCTGGACATACATTAAGCCCCACAACTATGGATTTTAGTTCTGCCCCCACCACAATAGCAACCCAGGTTAAGATTTCAAAGTGCAATTAATGTGTCAAAAGCTACACAATCTTAAATGTGGATTAGAAGGCATTCTGAGGGCTTAAGTTCTGCAGCAGTATTAATGGGATTCTCTCAGCGATGGTTGCCAAGGACACGAGTCTCTCAGTGCATCATTCTGGAAGGCAGCCATCAAGAAAGCGATGGACTCCCACCAGTCAAGAACTGAGCATGTCCAAGTGAACAAAATAGCCGTTGCTAGCCATCTCACAGTGGTCAAAGGACTCATCTGGCCATCAGATCCCACTCCTCCCCCAAACGCCTCTGCAAAACCAGATCCTTCACAAACTATCTGGAAAATTCTATGTTATGTCATTTACTGAGAACTCAGCAGCTTATAATGCAATCAAGATTAATTACACCAAGAGCAAAGCTGTAAAAACCAACCCAGATGCCATTTTGTAAAGCCCCATTTAACAGATGGATAAGACCCATACATGTTTAAACGAAAGAAGTGAATTATGTAAGCCCTATTAGAAATGCAAAACTCACAAAACAATTCTATACAAAACAACACCTTACCTCATATTTTTCACTTTCCTAGATTTAAGCATAACACTGATAACACCTTAAAATAAAATATCTGTATCTAGACACTTTTTTCAAGGAGTCAGTCATCTGACTGCCAATCATGTATAAATTTCTGAATTCTGATTGTCTTGCCCAAATGTGTGTTAAAATGCTGCAACAGCCCAGTCAAGAAAGACCATCGTAAGTGCTCCAGAGAAATACAAACATGGCCAGGATAATCAACCCACCTTGGATATGGGGAGGAGCAAAGATTAGCAGCAGAACACATGCTTGGCATGCAGAAGGTTCTAGGTTCAATGGCTCCCAGCTTCCATATGACTATGACGTATGTGTATGTTACGGATTGGAGGGCATCTCAGAGGTGGTTCCTGCCACACTAAAAGGTAACCTCCGCCCTTGTTCTTAAAAGCTGGGTGCTCTCATCGTTTTCGTAAGGTTTGTGCAAAGTTTGCAATGGGAGGGACATCTCAGATACTGAGCTTTTCCGTTACGTAAGTGAATGGGTAATTGCAGATGATCTGAGTGACCATTGCATTGAATAAATGTTCTTAAAACAGAGAGCCTGCGTGGAGTAGTGGTTGGAGTGCTGGACTAAGACCTGGAAGGGAAGGGCTTGAATCCCTAGTTGGCCATCAAGCTCATTGCCATCATTTAAACATAATGTGTGCCTGCTCAAACTGCAGCCGAGGTATTTCAAGGTTCCCCACAACCACCCCCACTTGCTCTTCTCAGAGCTCTTTATTTTCAAACTGGACTTGGACTGCATGCTCCTTCAAACAGAGGACTGCCCCCCCCCCCGTAAAGTAGGACACTTGGCCATCCTAGGAGCCATACGGCTCAAGTGGTTGCAACCATTCCCACTCTGGCCAGATATAGTGTATGCCCATTGAAATTATAGCTTTGGCTTTTAAATTTGCCTCCATTGCTAGGGTTCAATTCCCTACTAGGCCATGATGCTCACCGGGTGACCTTGGGCCACTCACTGCCTCTTGGCCTAATCCACCTCACAGGGTTGTTGTGGGTATTCAATGAGATGGAAGAAAACCACGGATGTTACCTTGGGGTGAAAGGTAGGGATACAAATGCAATAAATGAATGGTAAATAAAATGCATGCCAACATCTGGATACTGACCTATCAGAGGATCCGTAACATGTGTCCAGTCAATACAGCCCTGCAGCTCTAACTGATAATGAGACTGGATATAGAGAAGAAGGTGTTGGTAAAAGCCGATGCCAGCAATAAGGTGAGTCCGGTAGGCACACTCTAGGGTGCTGCGACTGTGAATGTGCTGTGGGGTGGGGAGCAAAAAGAAGAGGGGAGGGGAAAATAAAGTTAGAACACATCCTCAGTTGCTTCATCATCACCTTCATCCCCCTCCCTGTTCTCAAAAGGTAGCTAAGTTCGGCAGAAAACTCTTCTTTTTCTGGCCACTCTATGGCACCCCTCTTCTGTAGAACTTGCAATGTGTAGGCTGCCACTGGCATTTTGCTACTTGTCGTCCCCCTACCACGGATGAGCTGTGCCAGCCTGAGGGCTACTTTGCTGGTGAAAAGTCAGTTTATGGCTTTTACGCTTTGGAAAGTGAGTACAACTCCACTATTCTCCAATGGTGGGCTTGGGAAAAGCTGCACCCTCCCTTAAGTCAACGGAAGGGGATTTGGGGCAGTCGCTGCTGCTGTTCTCTCCCCTCAGCTGATAATAAGGAGCAATCACCAACTCAAAAGTTAGCCTTCCTCTGCATGCTGCAGACAAAAGGAGTTTTGCATGCAAGTACACCGTCTGTTGCCTCCTTAATTAGGCTTCCATGACCGTAGCCATTTCTATGCACTATTCACTCCACAGACTTGAAGCAAGGAAGGAAAAAGTCAGGAGAACCAGGGGTCATGTGGGGTGCTGCTCTGTGTAATCTGCAGCCAAGGCTGCAGGCAGCTTAAGAACCACCACTGTGACCCCACAAGAGAAGTAGCTCATCCACTTTATGTTGCTGCCTTTACATGTTAGAACAACAAGATCAAGGATGAGATCTGAGTCATGGGATGAGGTATTTGTAGAAATAAAATACTGGGGAAATCTTTTTAAAAGAAACCCATTGAAATACCAATGTTGAGCATATTCAGTGGAGACAACCAAGGGTTGAGTACAAACATTTAATTGTTTACTTATTAATGGCAGCAGGAATATTGGTAGCTAGAAACTGGAAAGAAGCAACGGGTTCAAATCCGTGGTTCCCAAAATGGGCGACACTGCCCCCAGTGCTGATTACTAAGGGGGAGCACTAGGATGCAAGGGGGCAGCATGGGGGCACTGGAAGTGTAAATGACTATCAGTCTTTGAAAAGCTGGTATCACAGAATGAAGTTCATCCATTTTGGTGAATTAAGCTACATAGTTTTAATTGGATTTTGAATAAATGTGCATTTGATCGTTGCGGATTGTGTTATTATCTTCCTGAATGGGTTGTGCAAACTGCTACTTTGAATGTTTTCTATATGATACGGGGCACTGGGGGTGAATTTATGGAATCAAGAGGGAGGGGGGCCAAAAGTTTCAGAACCAGTGGTTTAAATGCAAAAATCAAGGGGGAAACGAAATTTGGGACATAACACTTTCTGAAAAACTGACACAAAAACATCATGTGGCCAGAAAGCAAACAAAAATCCCACCAACTTTTATGATGGACCGGTGGCCATACAGTTGTGTTAACATTTTCCTTCATACTGATATTAGCAACTTTCAGTCTCTCTCCACTTCAGGTCTTGTAGGAACTTTGCTATTACTGTTTACATCTGAACTATGCTTCCAGGCTGGGGAAAGCAGGAGTACATTATTATTTTTTATTTTCAATTTTAACATGCTTTTTTCAAAAAGGTTCAGAGACAGCTTGCCTTTTTGTTTGTTTTAATGAGCTGAATGACTTCATAGTAAACTTTCCTCCACAGCAGCTCTTCTGCTTTCCTCCCATAATCCACTGGGTGCAAGAACATCAGCTTCACACATAGTTCACGTAACCTAGAGCAGGAAATTGGAGAGTGGGCAAAAGAGAGGGGGGGTTAGCCTTCAACTTAGCAAGAACAGCCACTTAAGCTATGATCCCTTCCCAGCAGAACAAAAAGATGTGCAGTCTGAAGCCACCCATCTTCCACTGCATCCTGCAATCTGGGTCAATGGCACAATACAGCTTAGCAAAATACAACTTAACACAAAATGTCAGGACAGGGCAGCCAGAGGCCAGATGAACCCTTCACTTTTTACAATACCTGGCATCCCATATGAGACATAGCAATCATTCAAGACAACCTCCCCAACCCTTAGAAACATCTGGAGGGACTTACTGAACTAGAAACTTTAATATGCGGTATAAACTTGTTTTAAGTAGCAGTTCCAACTTTAAGCTGCTCTTATGGCATTTCCCCTGAGAAATGACAAACTAATTAGTATTGCGGTAGTTTATTCTATTTTAAAATTGAAAAAACAGTAAAATATTTTTTATACTAAAAAAAGAAGCCCCACATGGTTGAGGCAACTAAATAGCCAAGGAAAAAGCAGGACATGGTGGCAGTCAGTCTAGCTTCCAGACTGCCTGGTCACTGTCTCTAGGCAAGATAGCTTTTTAAAACTGGGAGAGCTGGAGCAGTCTGTTTGGAAGCTTCTTCTGTGCAAGTTCCGCTGAACTCCCAAATGCACAAGCCCCTTGTACACGTACACACACACACACACACACACACATATCGTTTTTTCAGGCTACTGCTGTGTCACATAATTAACAAAGGTATGTGCAGGTGAATAGGCTAGGTAAACTTTACTATGGGGTAAATTTTCTGCAAGGGTGTTCCCAAACAACATTATGTGTAAAGCAACAGCTCTGGCCACAAGTCTGAAATCTGCTGCAGAACGAAGCAATATCCTGCACTGAATAATCCACTGGCCCGATAAAGGGCAGGCTTATATATCATATCATTAATATAAAGCTTCCGCAAGTATTTTTTTTATTCCATTTATATCCGGTCTTCCATGAAACTGAAGGCAGTGTGCACAAGTCCATGCAAAGCGTCCCTCCCATACCTGCTTAGTTCCAGCAAGGGTAGATCTTGTGCCTTCAAGACCATGCCCCTAAGTGAACTACAAAACTTAAAAAAGAAAGAGAGACTCAGCTTGCTTACTTGTTTCTCAGGCTGATGTTCTCTGGTTTAAAAACTTCTTGATAAGCTGCCTTGTTTCCAAGAATGAGATCCAGTCTATGCACGGCTTCTACCACAGCTCTACAAGAGACACAAAAGAACAGCAAGTATTAACATAAGGAAGACACAGCTTTGAGAGCTGCATGGGAATTCTGTATTGCCATGATCTTCCTCCTTTCCTTGGTTTCTTAAAGCTTGTTCACCCAATCAAGATACATGGGTGACAAAATAATACTGTACTGTGATAAAATAAAAGCATATTTAAAACATTTTAAAGCATCTGAAAACATTTAAACACACTAAAACAAGTTTAAAAACAGATGTAACCAAATCATGTGTCTGGACAAGCCCGCTGAAACAGAAACATTTTCAACAGGTGTCTAAAATAGTATTGTGAGGGTGCCCGCTTAATGTCAATTGGCAGGGAGTTCCAGAGCACCAGTGCAGCCACACAAAAGGAACGACTCCTCACAAATGCAGAATGAACAGCATGTGGCACTTGCAAAAGTGCAAGTTCTGCAGATAAAATTCTGGGGTGCAATAGCCACACCACCTGGCTAGTTACCTTTGGTCACTGTGTTTACCTTTACTGCCAGGTTAAGCTAAGAGGCAAGCCTCCAGTTTTAAGCAATGCGCAGCCAGTTCAAGTGCTTGCTCCTTTCTCCAAGCATCCCTCAGAATTCAACTGCATGGAGGAGGTCAGGCCTGACCTAGCACGTCACTTGCTACTCCCTGGCCGTCAATCCACATCAGCAGCAGCTGAAAATGTATCTGACAAGGGGCTCTAGTCCACAAATGCTTGTAGCATAATAAGTCTGTCACGGTGTAACCAGACTGTTTTCAGACAAGAATCTAACAGAGCCACCCACCCTTTCAGAGTCTATACCTGTTAGGAAGAAAGAACAGCCGCATTTGACAGGCTAGTCTCCACTGATGGAGACAGTCCATAGCTCCAACTGCCAGTGGCTGAATCCTGACTAGAGAGTACACTCTAGTTGTTCCCTCCTTTGCTCCCACAGAATGTTAGCTACCTACTTCCAGATGAAGATATTGGAAGCAAACCTCTTGAGGTGTATGCTTTTAAGTCCAATTTTTATAGTTGCAAGTTGTTGGGCTTTAATGTTAAAACCCACCCCAGAACCTTAGGTTGAAGGGCAGGCAATAAACACACAGACACACTCTGGGTATGTTTGTGTGTGCAAAGGGTAGCCTATACACAACCTATTCCCATAAAGCAGCAACTCCCAAGCAGCTTCTGCCCTCAAGTTCTGAACTTGCTGCCACTGCTCTGGAAGGAAAGTCCCACTCCAAGATATAAAAGCTTGCACAGGTGCCAAATACCACGTGGTTCTAAGGCTCTAATGTAAGGGTGGGCTCCATTCTCTGGTGAGAAGCCTTCCAGGGGCCACATGCCAGTACTGGGTGGGGCAGCTCGGGCCAAAAATGGGCATGGACACAGGTAACGTGTCCACATTAATAGACCCACAGTACACATCCTTAAAAAATGAAGGACGTTCTGCAAGCAAGATTCCACACAGGGAAAATTTGAGATTGGGGACTGCACAATAGAAACAAAACACAGGCAAGGTTGGCTGGGGGGCATGGAATCTAGCTGTGACTTGGGCTCACTTGACAGTGAGAAAGACACGTACTGCACCGCACAACTTTGTGCAGGGTACCTTGAAGCAGGAAAGTTAGCTGCAAGGAATACGAGAAGACTATTTGGGGCAGTAGTTAGCCATCTGGTGCTCAGCACCAGGCTTCAAACACACCCTTTCCCCTTACTCTCTTAAGCAAACCTAAAGGCTTCACAGTTAAGAAGCACTGACCTTCCAACTACTTGATATTTTCAATATAACTGAAAGCAGTGCCACTTTGGGGTATTAAGAGGTTGGCACAGGACCTGGCTGACGCATTTCGATACCTACTGCTGGGTTTTCTCATTGGCAGAAAGCAAGTCTAATGCCTCAGTCTATTAAAAGACCCGAAAATGGCAATGCATACCATGCTCCATGAACACAAGCCAATGACAAGCATTTTGACTGTAGGGAAGAAGGCAGGGAAAGCTGTTTGCATCTCAAGCCTCAGCTGTACTTGGCCAAGGATTCAAACTCAACCAAAGGCTCACTAAGTGACCTTAGAAAAACCACTTACATCATCAGTTTTCTTCCTTCACTCCACACTGCCCTCCACAAAAAGATAGCTATGTGACCTACGATGTGGCAGGGAAATGCCTAAACCATAGAAAGCTAACCTTGAAAAAGGCTGCCTTACCCTCCAAGGGTCATGTGCCACTCTCTCACGAGCATTTTCACAAACCATTCACACCTGCAGGCACACAGCACACATATCCTTGTCATAGTACCTGGTGATAAGGTTTAAACCTCTAATTTCATCCCGGCACTGCATCGGAGCTTCAGATCACCCCATCACCATGCTGGGCTATATGTAGAGCTTTAAATATTTCCTCCCAATCCAGCACTATTATGGGGAGGGAAATGAGTACTGGTGGGCCTAATCTGCTTCATGGGTTTGCCACTCTGTCTTAAACCAGATGTGGAAAACCCTTGGCCCTCCAGACATTGCTGAACTCAAAACTCTCAGCATTCCCAGTCCTTGGCCTAGGGCTGATGGAAGTTGTAGTTCAGCAACATCCGGAGGGTCTAAATCCAGGTTGCTGTCTAAGAAAATGTCAGGAAGGAGACAGGAGAATCTATGTGGAGCCACAGGGAAAGCAGATGAGGTGGGGACAGAAAGGAACAGAATTATTTACTCTGAAGTGATATGCTATGAAGCAGAGGGACATGGCAACAAAGTGCACCCAGCATTCAACTTGCATGCAGTGGCCTGGGAATAGCCACTGAGAGTTGCCATAATCCATCTGTGAAGTAACCTGCCTCCATATAACGTTCTGAAAATTATGATGGAGGGAATGCAGCGGACAGGGCTTTGTTAAGTGCCACAGAAGAGAATCACTTAAGAGTGTCTGCCTTTACTGCCCTGCCAAAAAAATGGTCGGGATGGAGAAACTGTCAACTTCTTTACACCCTTGACTCTGTGTTTCCTGCTCCATCGTACTCTGCTTAAGTGGGAATGGAAGAAGAAACTGGCTGATAGGGTCAGGGTGGATTAAAAAAAGGGCAGGGCTGGACCTTTTAAAAAAAACAAGAGCAAGGTGAAATAAAATAATTGCAAATGCCTCCTATCACCCAGTGGAGAGAAAAAAAGAATGATGGATCCATAAGTTTGCGAGAGTTTGCCAGATTTAAGGAAAGATTCCTCCTTGCCAAGCTCCATCAAAGACAGAAAGCTATCTGTGGGATCAGGGCAGAAATGGGTGGCTGGGAGAGAACCAGGTACAAATCCCTGTTGCCATTGGGTGACCTTGGTCCAGCCTCTCTCTCACAGCATACCCCTTCACAATAAGATGGGGATGAAGGGATTTGGCACATTTTCAGCTCAGGCTTCCTCACAGGGTTGCTCAGAAGATGGGGAGGGGACCTTGAGTCATTCAGTCACCCTGTTCCACCTCAGAATCATTCAGTCACCCTCTTTCATCCTCACTTAAGGATTGCTGAGGGAAAAAACTGGGAAGGAGGGGGAGCACCTTATGTCATTCAGTTGTCCTCTTTTGACCTCATGGGGAATAAAGAGAATAAAGGGTGTGTGAGAGGTTAGAAAGAACCTTGAGCTATACAAAATAAGTTTTAACTATTTTAAATTTCTGAATTTGAAATTGCTGTAATCTGCCCCGGGACCTCCTGGTGAAAGGTGCACAATAACTTTAGTAATAAGAATAATAACAATGACAACAACTTTTACCTAGCCTCTTGTTCAGGGCTGCACATTCATCTCTCAGACTTCCAATAGATATATTATAGCAATATTCTGCCTTATATACATTAAGATTAAACTGACCAGGTACCTATTCAAGAGAGGTGAAGAGGGTGAAGACAAGAGGATTAAAGGTGGGGTGAGAAGGCACCTTGGCCTTTACAGCTCCCCTCACCTATACAATCCCTCTCAGGGTCACTAAAAATACAAAATAGGGTGGCCACCTCATAGGGTTGCAAAGGAAAATGCAAAGGAAGATAAAAGATAATGGGTGGGTGGATGAGAAAGATCCTTGGGTTTAAACAGGTGTAACCTGCTCTGGGTCCTTAGGTGGGGAATTGATCCTCACCCCCCTTATCCTCTCAGAAACCCAAAAGGGGGGCAGGATGAAGAGACGGATGTGAGAAAGATCCCCAGGTCATAACATTGGGCGTTAATTGTTGTAACCCACCCTGGGTCCGTAGGTGGCTAATAAATAATGGTGACCATCCTATCCTCCCTCCTCAGGGTTGGTGAGAACATAAAACGGGGAAGGGAAAGGGGAGCACCTTAGGCCACTCAGTTGTGCCCTTTCAACCTCACGAGAGGATAAAGGGGGGACGACAACCGTGTGTGTGTGTGTGTGTGTTTGAGAGAGAGAGAAAGAGCCTTGGGTCCCAGTATTGCGTTTTAATTCTTGTAACCCGCCCTGGGACCGGGGAAATCACCACCACCCCCGCCCCGGGGCTGGTTGTGGGGCGAGTTAGAAATATGAGCGGACTGGGGGGGGGCCATGCCCGTCACCGTGACCTCCGTAGATATAGTTGGATAGATATATTAACATTTGACCAGGTATCTATACCCAGCGAAAGGGAGCGGGGAAGAGGCCCGGATCCGAGGGAGATAAACCGGGGATGGGGGTGGGGTCTCCCTGCCTTTCTCCCTCACCGGTAGAGCCTCTTGGTGTGGAGAGCTTTGGCCTCGGGTTCCCCGCCGCCGCCGCCGCCTCCTCCTCCGCTTCCGCTGCCTTGGCTCATGGCGCCCAGCCGGGCCTGCCCCGCGTGTGGCCGGCGGCTTCCGAAGGGCTCCCTCAGCAGCTCCACCTGCCGCCGCTGCTCCAGGCCCAGCCTTCCCCGCGGCGCCGCTCCAGCTGCTGCTCGTCCCGCCGCCCCTGCCTCAGGGGCCGCCGCCGCTGCTGCTCCTCCTCCGCCGCCTGCCTCTCGAGACTCCCCCGCTGCCGCCGAGCCTGCTGCTGCTGCTGCTGCTGCCGCCGGCGGCCCCCTCGCCCGGCAGCCATCGCGCTCCGGCTCCTCCCCCGCCCCGCCGTGCGCGCGCTTCCTCCCTCCCCTTCCCTCCCTTCCTCCTTCCTTCCTTCCTTCCGCGATCGGGATCCCGGGGGCTGCCGCGGCGGCGGAGGAGGAGGCTGCCCACCTCAGCCAAGTCGCGCGAGAACTCGCCCGCGCCTCTCGCGAGACCGGGCCTGGCGCGCGTGAGCGCCACCCCACCCCGACCGCAAGGGCCGCATAGATGATACATACATATACATGCATAGATCTAGAAAAGTAAAGAGGGAGCATTCGGTGGCCTGATGGCAAGCGGTGGATGCTTTGCTTTTGCTGTCTTTTACTTACACCTTTCCCCCTCATTCTGATGTACACGTTTCTACACACACACACACACACACACACACACACACACACACACACACACTTAATCCTCACAACCCTGAGAGGTAGGGCAGGACGGGCCCAAGGTGAGCTTCATGGCTTATGAGGGGGGATTTTTGAACCCATGTCTTTCCCAAGGTCTGAGTCTGACACGAACCACTGTCTGCACCACCACTGGCTCTCAATGCCGAAGGTCCCTGGTTTGATCCCCAGCAGCACCTCCAGGTAGGGTTACAAGAGCCTGTAACTGTGAGGTGCCACCTTACGCAAGATTTTTCAGTTTTAATTTTGGCAGAAATGATTGGCAGAAAAGCAAAAAGCTTTTGCTCGCTGTCCATAGTTAATGTTACTGAATATTTTTGATGATACCAATATTACCAAAAGAACTGGCCTTGTAAATTCCCTTCAAAGCTCAGATAATACTTGCAACTCAATGGGAAGCAAGCAACCCAAAATCTAACCGTTGGACACTTGGCACCACTCACTCTGGAATGTAGCTATAATGGAGAAAATTATGCATAATTTTAGATTTGACAAGAACATCCATATGCTTTTATATAATTTGGCCTTCCTTTACTATATATGCAATGGAGACATCATTTTCAAGACAACACTCATCACAAACCTGGCAAATCTTGAACTAGACTTGATAATCAGATTACACTAACTTTTATTTACTTATTTATTTTTATGTGAAGACATTTATTCTAACTTTTTTCTTCTATGGCTTGGATTTTGTTACTTGACCCATGAGTAACCGTGCTCACCCTATGTGCCTTTTTATAGTTTTGTTTTTCGCCTTTCAATATTATAATTGCTCTCTCTGTTTTAAAAATATTTACAAACAAAAAGAGCCATCTTACCAGTCAGTGCTCCCCTGCTTCCATTTTATCTTCACAACAAGCCAGGTTGTCCAGGTTGACTGCTAGGAGTCACTCAGTGACCTTTGTGGGCAAAGTGGGATTTCAGTCATCTTTTTAACTTACTTACCTAGCTTGCCTGGTTCAACTAACTTACCACATTACGAGTGGTTGCAGTTGCTCTTAGTCTCGGCCTGGCTCCAAGCTACAATGTGGAGATAACAACACTGCAAGGCTGTTGTGTAAACGCCGTTTCTCGGCTTGACCCCCTAGCCAGCAATATTAACCATGGAGATTGTAGCTCGTCAGTAATAAGCTGCTCTATCTATCAGTCCTCCCCTGCAATATAGTGATAATGAACTGAATTTTTTAATTGGCAGGGGAATTTTTAGCAGGCCATTTTTGAAAATAATAATAAATGGATTCCTCCCCCGAGGAGATTTAAAAATGTTTTTCTTTCAAACTAAACTTGGAAGTCCTGAATCCAAGGAAAAGACTGGGTTTCTCTTCTATTTTTCTGATCTCTCTACAGCACCTCGAGGGCAAGACTCCAGCAGGGGGCCTCTGTGTGACGACAGTCCCCCGGTGACTGGCAAAGGAAAGGGCAGCTTCTGCTTCGTCTCGCGATATCAGCTTACATCGACGCGAGAGCTCATACACCGGTCGCTAAGCGCGTTTCCTTACCCATGAGATTTGCCAGGACTATAGTAAGGGCAAGATGGCTGCTCTTCCAGCTTCAAACTGCATTCAAATAAACTTTATTGACAACATAATCGGTTGCAAGCAAACGTGGTCAGATTGGGAAGGAAGGAAATCAGCGTTTTAAATATTGTTATTATTATTATTATTATGCGTGTATGGGGTGTTAGGGGAGGGGTACACTGGTGGGGGCCATGTTGTATTCCTTCTGGGGTAGTTTTTGTCCACCTTTGGTCCCCACCCTGCACTCAGCTCCTAGAAGCTGTCAGCATGCGACAGCAGCCACACCCCAGGAATGGCTTCGACTGGCCGGCTAAACCAGGTGAGGGCTTAATGCAGAATGCTGCAGTGCAATTGCTCACAGGAGCAAGACCTTGCCAATATATAACACCCCTGCTCAGAGACCAGCGCTGGTTGCCAATTTGCTAAGGGTGTTACTACAATCAAAGTGTGTGTGTTGCTAAATAAATAGATAAAATAAAAGGAGGAACTTGAATGTGCTCACATGGTTCGGCCCCTCCTCATTTCATCCCCACAACAACCCTGTGAGGTAGGCTAGGCTGAGAGAGAAAGCGACTCACATAGCTGTCAACTTTTCCCTTTTCTTGCGAGGAATCCTATTCAGAATAAGGGAATTTCCCTTAAAAAAAGGGAAACGTTGACAGCTGTGAGCGACTGGCCCAAGGTCACCCAGGTCCTAGTCAAAATTCTCTAGCCACTGCACCACACTGGCTCACAAGGGGTAGGGGTCAACACCAATGAGCCCCCCAGAGTCCTGGTCCCCCGGATACCTGCCCAGGTTTGCCAGGTACTTTGTTGTTGTTGTTGTTTAGTCGTTTCCGACTCTTCGTGACCCCATGGACCAGAGCACGCCAGGCACTTCTGTCTTCCACTGCCTCCCGCAGTTTAGTCAAACTCATGCTGGTAGCTTCGAGAACACTATCCAACCATCTCGTCCTCTGTTGCCAGGTACTAGGGTTGCCATATGTCTGGAATTTCCCAGACATATACGGAACACTGCAGTCAGAAGCAGTGTCTGGGCAAAAATCGAAAACAAAAATGTATGGGAAAATCCGTACATATGGCAACCCATGGCAAACATCATTCTTTTCTCTTTTTTGCGATTTTGCCAAAAATCTCAACAGCTTAAGAAAGGTCAACAACTTTGCCCACCTGCCCCCAATGAAAGAAAGCTAAACAACTTTTCTGTCTGGATTGTCACTGTTTGAAATATGGCAACCCTACCAGGTACTGATCCCTGACCCTGACTAAACCCAACACCAGGAATTAATAGAAAATATTTTGTGGAGAGGAGGCTAATATGTATTAATAATTGTTCTTGGCTCAGTCAGATTGCAGAAAGAAAAAAAACACTCCGTTTCTCCACTTACATCCAAAGTAGGGTGGCCATGTGTCCTCCTTCAGAGAAGGCAATCCTCTGTTTGTTGCCCAAATCTGGCTTAAATGGTCTCCCTTGGCAGGTTGTGAACTCTCCTTTCTTGGGGGTTTTTAAGCAGAGGTTGGATGGTCATCTGTTATGGATGCTTTAGCTGAGAGTCCTGCATTTTCAGGGGGTTGGGCTAGAGAACCCTTGGGGTCCCTTCCAACTCAACAATTCTATGAAATATACATAATCCAAAAAAGGCTTTAAATGGCTTAGCAGCACCTGAACAGCAACACTAAGCAGGCCCAGTAGGTATGGAGATGTAGAATCATTAGAATTGTAGAGTTGAAATAGACCTCTAGCAGTCCAACCCTCTGCAATGCAGGAATATGAAACTGTACCGTAAGAGGATAAAACTTGCAACCTTTGCATTATCAACACCATGCTCTAACCCAGGCATAGGCAAACTCCGGCCCTCCAGATGTTTGAGACTACAATTCCCATCATCCCTAGCTAACAGGACCAGTGGTCAGGGATAATGGGATAATGGGAATTGTAGTCCCAAACATCTGGAGGGCCGGAGTTTGCCTATGCCTGCTCTAAGCAACTATCTTATGTTTCTATTTAAATGACAGCAATGACTTCTAAATTTGCATCTAACACACACACACACAGACACACACACACACACAAAGCCTCATACCCAGCGGAATTCTAAGGGGACATTCTCAGCCATACCTGGAGAGGCAGGGAATTGAACTCAGCTATACTGTACAGCTGCAAATATAACGTTTTAAGTGCATTTTAAGTGCATTATACAACTGTGGCACTAGATGGCAATGGTGAGCTATTGGCAAATTCAATATTTTCTCAGCTTTTTATATATGCATAGATTCCACCTGGGACCTTCTGTTCTGCCAGTGAGCCAGAGCTCTCCTCCTAAAACTAGATACTGTACAAGTTTCTAGTCCTTATGGATCCCAATGAATGGCTGATTGAATTTGGTCTCTCCTGCATGCAAGGCACTTACTCTTTCACTGAGCTACAGCCTAGGAAACACTGGGAACATAATGTTATCACCAATCACTGTATTGTGAATGCACTTATCTTATATCTTATATAAACTTGAGCTTAGCCTGGAAATGGCACAGATTTACAGTGCCATGTGCATTTTGTGGCCTTTTAGCCGGTTTGTACATTCCTGCCCCTACCCCTGCACCTCCCCTGTTAAAAAACAATCATTTTGAGGAGTTACCTTAGCAGGTCCGGAATTTGCCTTTGTTGACCAAGCAGTTTGAAACCTGCCGTTCAAACTCTTGTTCAACTCAGACTCCTGTATACAACTGGGCAAAACAAATATTGACCTGACAGCAGAACACACTCTGCTCAACAGCAATCATGCTCAGACTTGGCTCAGCTCTGGAAACGATACCAATTTGAAAACAAAAACAAAAAACATGTTTGCCATTCTCAAATGGTGGGAAGTTGAAGAGCACTTAACACTTCAAGAGCACATAAGAGGCAAAACCGATTGCATTGTTTTTGTGAGGAGTATTTGCAAAAACACAGGTTCAGAAGGTGTTTTGGGGACACAGAAGCCAGCACTCACATTGGTCCTCTGGAATGTGAAAGACAAACTTCTCTCCCCCAAACTGCTGGCTGTTCTGGTTTCCCTTCACAGTCACTTGA